TTTGATTGACCCTTAGGACTTTTTACTTTGGACGCGTTGGGCTGTTAATGGTGTTAAAATTGGGTCTAAAGTCAAAATTTGGACTTTCAGAAATACCCTTAATTCAGACTTTTCGAAAACTTTTTTTTTGAAAAAAAGTGATTTCTTAACTATGGCAGAAAAAAAATGAAACCCGTGTTTCGGGATTATTAAGTGAACTAAGAAGCTTTTCGAGGTATAGGAAAGAGTTCCTATATCTAATTTTGGTCTATTTTTCAACAGGTTGATTGTTATTTGAAAATTCTTTTTGGTTGTGTTTTTATCGGTTAAGTTGTGCTAAAATTTTAGAAATTTGATATTTAAGAATCCGATAAAATGAAGACTACAGGTTCTCAGATAAGCTCCCATGTGCAAGGTGGTATTATTATGGAAAATAAAGGTGGAAATACAGCATATTCAGTTGAGATTGGTGTAGTAGCGTTACATTTTGGGAAGCTATGGCAAGAACATGGAAGTGGTGAAAGTGGAAAATTTGATTACTTTTGGTGATATTTTCGGAACTATGAAAGATTTTGAAGAAATTTGAAGAGTTCTAGTGAGCTAAGCATATGAGATTTCAGTACCCATTTCAACTTTTCTGATACAAGATACTTTACTAGCAAGTTTTTGGCCAAAGGGGGCGTTGGGTAGTGAGAAGGGGGTTTTTAAACCCGATAAAATGCAGTCTAGGGCCATAAGTATCCAACCAAATGAGAAACTAACAATTTTATTGGATTCTACAGGTTGAAATAGTACCGCTTATGTGTTTTGTTAGTATCAGTTCTACATCAACGAGACCGAAATGATACAACTTTAAAGTCATAGTATATGATAAAAATTAATGAGCTCTATCAGCTTTTTCAGCCACTAAGCTTTTAGTTGAAAGAATTTGGGTACCATTACAATTACAAACACGAAACCTGTAGGTTTGGCAGCTTAATTTCTCCGTTGAATAATTCAGTTCTTGCCAACTGTCTTATATAAGCTTATTTTTAGCGTGTCAATTGTTTGATTTTGAGTTCAAAGATTAATACATGTATATCTATATATCTATCATCTATCAGCTATCCAATTCACAATAATAATGATGCCATTAATTTCAAGAGCTCAGTATATAAACTGATCTCAGCGTTCCGTGTAATTTATTGTTTGCATAATTTGCTAGCTCAGCGTTTTCGCGAACTAAACTATCATGCATGAAAAAAAAACCTACCACCCGAAATTCTCATTTTCAAGCAGCATTATTTGACATAAATTGTTAGATCACATAAGTATCCAAATCATTCATTGCTAATAAAACTGAATTTCCTGCAATTACTAAGTTGTTTTGAGAAATTTTGAAAAGATTTTCAGAATTATGACAGTTTCAACCCTCATTTGTTCTATAAATTTGAGAAATAGATATGGTTAAAATTTATTAAATCACCAGCCAAAATCTAAAAAGGTCGAAATTAAACAATAAATATAATTGTTTATATGCTTTGAAATTTTAAGAATATAGTTATGTATTTAATATACTTTTTATCATACAACGTTGCTTTGTTATTTGCGATTGTAAATCTAGTCACGTGATAGGGCTCAAGCAGCTGTAACCGGGCCTTTTGAGCTAGTCAAAACTTTGTAAAGTAGTGCAAGCAACGAGCCCCTTAATTCTATATAGGCACTGACGGACTACATACTGAATTGGGGATTCTTATATTCTGTGTATTTTCAATAGTTTTTGAGGCTAATATTCTTTAGAGAATGCTGTTGGTATCGCTGTTTGCAGGCTCGATTATCAAGTCGCCCAGATCCATATCTGAGCTCTTATAATTACACTAAAAATAATTATATAGCTAAATCGCAATACTTTGAGCCAATAATTACCGAATAGTTAGCTCTCAAGGGTCAACTAATTCTTATCTATTGAGCTGACAAAAGTAGAAGAAACACTGCGGTTGGTTAATATGTTGATCAAGTATCTCGTTTTTTTTGCTGCTTTACTCTAGAGATTAGCAAAGTTGTGTACGAATTTAAAACTCCATCAAACCTGAAAAGTCTTACGCCCTAGCTAGATATTTATTTTGGAAGCTGTATGCTCAGGTTATTCAATTGTGGCAAAGATCAAATCAGACATTTCATTTCCCACACTAAAATTCATCGGTCCCTCATTTCAACGTCTGCGCTGCCCCTCCAAGCCACAGTTTATTTCCATCTATTTCACGTGATATCACCAACAACCTACAAGGAACTACAATTAAATAAAGGTACAACACGACCTAAACACCGAATAAAAATCATGAAGATTCTACCATTTGAAGGCATGAAGCAAAAGGTAACTTCTGATATCAGAACATTATACTGTCCCAGTTGTATCTCTTGTCTATTGTTCTTATCAGATCACAAATCCCTTATCTGTGGCGTCAAGAAAAAATAAATGAAAAAAAAAATCAAAATCTGATGAGTTTTGATTAATACTTTGACAGTTGGTCTGGAGTTTGGATACACAATTGACGCAAAGCACAGTCCAATCAAATTCGCAAAATGAAGAGAATCTTAAAATTACGAGCGGATAGGACGTTGGCAAATGCAGTTAAATCCGTTCAAACTTCATCGCGTGTCTTGTGTACTTGAAGATAATTTATTTTCTACTACATGAGAAGAGTCACCAAAAAATCACCTGCCAATAGATTGCAAAATGCTGCAAAACTTATCAGCTTGCAAATGTTTGAGAAAACTGTGGATCCCTTTCCTTTACAGGCTTTGAAAAGTTTATTATTTATTCAACTGAATATAAAAACCCAGTGATAGTCTTCAAGTTAAACCATCTCCAAATATTATCACTACGCATACAAACTGAAAGATGTCAACCAGTAGTAATCATTCACAGTTACATGATTTGGAGGAAAAGAAGTCACCTCAAACAAATGTTATTTCTAAACAAGAAGTTGAAGAAAAAGGCTATAGAGTTATCAAATCAAAAGATGCTGATGCTACTTTAAAATTCCAAGAACAATATGATTCCACGGTTCCAGAAATTACACCGGAACAAGAAGCTAAGCTATCAAGAAAAGTTACATGGATTATCATGAGCTTGGTTTGTTTGGTCAATTTGTTGCTATATATGGATAAAGCTACTTTATCTTATGCTTCTATTTTTGAATTCTGGGATGATACCGGAATGGATCAAAACAAATACAACAATGTTAACACTTTATTTTATGTTGGTTATATTGCAGGTCAAATCCCAGGTAACTATTTGCTGCAAAAGTTACCAATTGGTAGATTCTTATTCATTTTAACATCTTTATGGACAGTTATAATCTTTTTGCATTGTGCCGCTTACAATTATTCTGGGGTTATTGCTTTAAGATTCTTTTTGGGTTTTGTTGAAAGTGTTGTTTTACCATTATTGAATATTACAATGGGTCAATTTTTAACTGCAAGTGAAAAAGCTTCAACTGCACCAATTTTCTATTCAACTTGTTTGGGTGTTACAATTCCAACAGGGTTTATCGCTTATGGTGTTTTATTTGCTAAATCTTCAATTCATGCTTGGAGAATCTTTATGATCATTATTGGAGGATTAACCTTTTTATTAACTGTACTTGTGTTTTGGATTTATCCAAATAATCCATCAACTGCTAGATTTTTATCCACACAGGAAAAAATTTGGGTTATTAGAAGAGTTCAAAATACAACAGGTGCTGCCATTGAACAGAAAGTTTTCAAAAAATATCAATTTATCGAGGCCATTAAAGATCCTTTGACTTGGTTATTTGGTTTATTCTTCTTTTTGCAACAACTCGCTAATAATTTGCCATATCAACAAAATTTGTTATTTACAGGTATGGGTGGTATTTCAAATTTGAACTCAACTTTAGTTAGTGTTGCATCTGGTGGGTTCGCTGTTGTCTGCTGTTTAATTGCAAGTTTCATTTTAGCTAGAAAACAGAACATTACAGCCTTTTCAGTTGTTTTCTGGTCATTACCTTCATTAGTTGGTTCAATTGTTGCTGTTGCATTACCTTGGTCTAATAAAACTGGGTTATTAGCTGCCTTATGTCTTGCCTCACCAGTTTTTGGTATTCCATGGATCTTGATGTTTTCATGGAATTCAACTTCATGTTCTGGTTATACCAAAAAAATCACAAGAAATGCAATTGTGATGTTTTGGTATAGTGTTTCAAATATCATTAGTCCTCAATTATGGCAAGCACGCGATGCTCCAAGATACTATGGTGCTTGGATTGTTCAAATCGTCTTATCATTTACTGCAGCACCAGCACTTGCTCTAATTATTTATTATGTTTTGAACAAACGTAATAAAGAAAGATTGAGTAATTTGAGTGAAGAAAGAAAAGTTGGTGTTGTTGAAGATAGTGATGTTGATTTTGTTGTTAATGTTGCTTCATTGGATTTAACCGATTTGGAGAACAAGGCATTCATTTATCCATTGTGATAATGGTTTGTGTGGTTTAGTTTATAGTTTTTTTTAATGGTTAATGGATTTTGTTTAAAGAAGCGTAGTCAGCTATATGGACAGCTGCCATCTCATATCGTGTCACCAATTTTTTCTTTCCCTTTTTTTTCCATCACCAAAAAATTGAGGAAATTCATCTTCACAATTAACAACTTGAAATATCATTCAACTCTTTAATTAAACAGTCAATATGTCAGGTCGTCAAGGCGGTAAACTTAAACGTGAGTATTAAAAAATTGTTTGATGAATAAAGAATATTGTTTTGCTGACATATCGTTTAAAAAGCTCTAAAAACAAAGAAAAAAACTCAAGAAGATTTAGATCCAGAAGAACTTGCTTTCAAAGAAAAGCAAAAGGCTGATGCTGCTGCTAGAAAAGCTGCTGCTGCTAACATTAAAGGTGGTAAACCATTAGTTGGTGGTGGTATCAAGAAATCTGGTAAGAAATAGATTACCTAACTGACAAAGGGGAAATACACATGATAAAGATTGGTACAAAAATCATGAGAATTTATGTAGAATAACAAGAAGAAAAACCAACTATCTTATTAGTTTGACTTAATATACCTATTACACCAATTTTCAAGTTTCAGTCCATTTGATTTATGATCAATTCGAATTTGTTTATGGACTTTTTGGCCTCAAAGGGAAAATTTGAAGATAAAATTGGGATGCGCACTCTATAGCTAGTGTTATTGTTGTCTGGGTAACGAACAATCTGATAGCTGAGGAATTGCAACAAGTTAACCAGCCAATTTTGATATAAATAATTAGTGAAATCAGTAATTATTTCAAGTGGCTTTCTATTTTGTTTTGTTGCCAATTTCTTGGAAAGTTTTTACCCATAAACTTGTTTTTTTTCATCTAATCGGAATTTTTTGCCTAGATTGTGTTGAAAATCATGAAAATTACTCGAAGCAAGGATATAAAAGACGGCTCAAATCCATTATTAACAAATTGGTTCGATTATTCTAATCAATTGTTAGCACATTCCATTAATCTTTTTGCAAGATCTATTCCCAATTCACAATGTCAGCTTTCAAAACAGAAGGAACCGTCTACACTTTTGGTGGTAAATTACTAAAATTATCCCATGAATCTAAAGAAACAAATACTCCAATGGCATTGAATGTCTATTTACCAAAACAATATGAATCAGCTTCTGAAAAGTCTATTCCAGTCTTGATCTATTTGTCAGGTCTGACCTGTACTCCAAACAATGCATCTGAAAAGGCTTATTGGCAACCACAAGCGGACAAGTTTGGGTTTGCTATTGTCTTCCCAGATACTTCACCAAGAGGTGCAAACATTGAAGGCGAAGAAGATTCCTGGGATTTTGGTACTGGTGCTGGCTTTTATGTTGATGCTACTACTGCAAAGTTCAAGAAGAACTATCGTATGTATTCATATGTTCATAAAGAAATCCAACCATTACTACAAGAAGAGTTCACAAAATTGAATTTTGAAAATGTTTCTATAACAGGTCATTCAATGGGTGGTTATGGTGCTTTATCTGGGTTCTTTCAAAACCCTGGTAAATATAAATCTGTTTCAGCTTTTTCACCAATTGCAAACCCAATCAATGCTCCTTGGGGGTTGAAAAACTTTACTGGTTATCTTGGTGAAGATAAATCTACATGGGAAAAATATGACCCTACAGAATTGCTAAAAACTTATGAAGGTCCAGTTTCAAATATCTTGATTCATGTTGGTAAAGGTGATCCATTTTATTATAGAGATTCTCAGTTATTACCAGAAAATTTTGTTGAAGCCTCAAAAGGAACAAAATTCGAAGGTAAAGTTGATTTGAATTTGGTTGAAGGATTTGATCATTCTTACTATTTCATTAGTTCCTTTACTGCTGCTCATGCTGAACACCACGCTAAATATTTAGGTTTAGCTTAGCAACGAAAGACTTACGAATCAAAAATATGATATGTTTTAATTTAGTCTATTTGTAGCCTTAAGAATCACTAATTATGGCTGCAGATTGCCAACCAGCAGCTGCAATGGCTACAACTTTTCCTTCAGCATCAATTTGAGTAGGTTTTATCACTCTTTTAGAACCACCTTCTATAATAGAACCATTTGGCTGCTTACCAAGACCAAGACAACCACAATGATTTGATTCCAAACCCCATGAAAGCATAGTACCATCTCTAAGTAGTGCTAAGAAATGATAGTCACCCACAGCAACACTGATACAATTCACTTTCTGTAATTCATCGATTATTTCAGGCTCATCTGTATTTTTAGAGCCTAATAAAACTAAATCTTCATTGGAAAATGCTGTAAAACTTCTAAATGATCCACTTAACCTAACAAACTTTGGGGCTAGTGACTTACCGTTAAATTTTAAATAATCCTGAAACTTGATAAGTGGGAATGAAGGCTCACCAATCATATCATTTCTGTAAATTTTACCTTCTAAAGTGACATAAATTATGAAATCTTCACCTGCAACAAAATCAACAATTTTCCCAGGTCCATTAATATCACCTGTATTGGGGATCAAGACATGATGAGCTTTAGCCTCAGTTTGATCTTTTTTCAATGGCTCACGCTTTTTCCAATAAACAAGACCGTAGTTATAAATATATGCAACACTTGAGTCCCATCCTGCTAATGCCTTTAATACAAATCGACCTTGTGACTTCAAGTCTACTCCACCTTGATTAACAAATTTCAATTTAACTCCATAATCTCCTCGATCCCAGGACCAAAGATTACCAGTGTTATCAATTGCTATAAAATGAGCTCTTCCAGAACTAACACTAACAAATTGAGTATCAAACTGTGCTCTTTCTTTTACGAGAAACCTATTTTCAACTTTGGATTTTGGCTTTGGAGTGTCATCTTGTGGAATTTGATAAGGTGAAGAAGGGAAGGAACCAGGTAATGGATGAGGATGCTCTTCATTCATTGGACGATGACGTACACCACCTAGCCGTATTGGCAATACTGGATTCATTCTTTGACTCATATTCAAAGGATTGAAAAGGACAGATTCCTGATGTCTTATTTGTTGTTGAAATTCATTATAATCACTTTGGTCAGGTCCTGGACCTGTTTGATGTCCAGCATGATAGGAACCACTGGAATATATTTCGCCATGGGCAGTCAAAATCTGGAAGCTGAACCCTCCAGCTGAAACATCCGCTAATATTTCTTCAATTCCTGGAACTTTAGTAGGTTTGCAAACGCCTGATGAGAATCCTTGCCTCTCCAGGTTTTCAGTTGGCACGTCCTTACTTGATAATCCTAATCTACCACCACCCATAGCACCCCATGAATAGAATCGACCTTTAGCTCTAATTGAATATAGCTCTGGCCATTTGTTCATTGAAAAGGCTGTGGGTTTTGTGCCAAATGTTTTTTTAAAAAGTTCATGCCATATGAATGATGATTGATCAACTAGTTGATACAACGATTTTGAAGCCAGTTTCAAAGATCTAATATCAGCTGGAGACAAGTATGGGATGATATCAGATTCGATGATATCTGCACCAAGATCAAAGAAAGTGAGTGTCATTGTGCTTGAAATAAGAAGCAACAATTATCAAGCAGAAGAGAATCAAGCAATCTATTGTTTAATTTTATCAGAGATCCTTGGTTCAGACAACATACAGAGATTTATATATGCAAATACTTGATTTAATCTATACAAAATGCCTTCATTTCCTGCTTGGAAGCTCCTGGAAAGTCTTTTTCAATATTCTGCGCAAAGCATACAAGTTTGTCACTCGAAGCTTCTCGTTATCCAAATGTGCGTTGTCTGTTGATTGACCACAAGGAATCTGTGCGGCCGGTGCATCACAAATCTTTTCCAGAAATCTAACTGAAGGGATGGATCCACCTTCTCTGATGTATAACGGCTCTGTACCCCATTCTTGCTTGACAGCATTGCTGAGGATCTTAAAAGCAGCATTTGTTGGATCCCCTAACCAAGGTTCTGATTCATGAACAATTTTGACTTCTAAAGTGTTATCAGAATTGAATTCTTTAAAAGAATTTTGTAAATGTGAGATGAATCCTTTCTTAATCTCCTCAACGTTTTGCTCTGGCACTATACGAATTGATAGGGATCCTTTACTGGATCTCGGAATAACTGTATTGTTACCTGGACCTGAAACATCAATCTTGTGAATTGTTAAAGATGGGAATTTCCATTTGGCCAGTAAAGTTTCTTTATTGATTTCAATGTTAGCCTTTTTGAGCACTTCTTCATATAATTTCTCCTCCGATAATGTTAAATTCTGAATAGGTTCATAAAAATTTGGTATCAAAACTTTTCCTTCTTTATCTGTCAACGTTGCTAAAAGATTAACTAAATCAATTGTTGGTTCCCTTGAAACACCACCATCAACACCGGAATGCCTATCAGGTCTGTCACTGCTGACTTCAACAGAGGCACTAATAACACCTCTTAGCCCATAATTCAAACAGGGTGTAAGTTCATCCAGCCAATAGGAGTTACTCAACAAGACCCAATCTATTTCACCAATAATTTCACGGTTTTTTTCGATTGCCTCTTGAAAGCCAAAAGAGCCACATTCCTCTTCACCTTCAATCAAAAACACTATATCTGCGTTCAAATTTCCCTCTTGGAGTAATTCTGCAACTGCATATATAGCTGCAAGTATTGGTCCCTTGTTATCACTAACACCTCTACCATACAAATAACCATCATTTGCAGTCATCTTGAAAGGATCTGTCCTCCAGCCTAAAGTGTCATCTGCTTCAATAACGTCATAATGCCCGTACCATAAAACTCTTGGATTTTTGGTTTTAGAATCTTTGCCCTTGAAGCAACCGTAAACGACAGGATTACCATTTTCAACTGGTATTATTTCTGAATCAGCTCCAAATTTTTTGAAAATGCTTGTTAAAAATGCTGCACAACGACGGGAATCATCAATATAAAGCTCTGGCTTTTTAGAAACAGTTTTAAAACTAACCATTTCTCCTAAGGTTGTTAAGAGAGAATCATTATCAATTGCAGCAACTGATGTTCTTCTCAATGGTGCATTGTCTTCACTTATATCCCAAATAGCCACAGAGGCATCATTACCACCTGTTATTAAAAGGACTTTGCCATCTTTGTAAGCAATTTCTGTAGATAGAACTAATCCTTGGTGTGCTTCCCATTCTTCCTTGCAATCACCACCGAATTTCCATTTGATAACACCATCTGAAGAACCTTTATATATGCATGAATTTGACGCAGCTAATGCCAAAATATCTCCCCCATCACTCTGAAGTGATCTTATCTGTTGATAAGTGCTCAAATCCCAAATTTTCAATTGCCCATCAGTTAAGCCACAATATAGAAATGACTCGTTTCTGGTTAAAGATAGAACACTCTCATCATTATCTAGAGTCTTTATCAATTGAACGCCTTTAGATAAATCCCATATTTTCACGTATCCATCACCACCTCCAGTAAGTAGCATGTTCTCATGAATTTCCATCGTGTATACAAATCCATTATGGGCATATGGAATAATATTGGAAGAAGGAATTTCGATCAATCTTGTCTGTAATTTATCAACTTTTTTTTGAGATGAACTCCCAGTTGGTCCAGTTGAATCGAAAAACTTGTCAAATCTTTGAGATGGTAGACTGCTTGGATCATCTTTGGGTATGCTATCTAATAAGTGAACAAACAATATTGAAGCATTTTGAGCACCGAAGAAGATGGTGTTTAATGAACTCGACCATGCTAAACTGAAAATATCACCAATATCAACCAATGAATAAATAGTATGTGTTTCTTTCATCGTGGTTACATCCCAAACTTTCACTAATGAATCTGAACCACCAGAAAATAAATGCTTTTCGTCTTTGGACTTGGTCAAGCATAACACTGAACCAGTATGACCTGTTAATGCATCTTTACGTTCATAAGTTTCCATATCAAAAATCAAAATCTGATGATCTTGGGTACCACAGAATAAAAGCCCTAAGCTAGGAAACGTAACAGTTGAAAGAATTGAATATTGGTGATGCCATCTGTGAATTAATTCTGGTTTTTCATCCTTATTGAAATTTGACAGTGACTCCAAGTCACTAATAGATCTCTGGGGACTTGGTGAGTACGACTTCCTTGTGGGGAGCAAGTTATGAAGTGGGAGGCGCCTCGAATGACTGACCAGAGGATTATCATCTAGTGCATTTTTAGTTGGCATTCTTTTTGACTGTTGAACCTTGAGACGTTGTTGATGTTGAAAACTTTTGACATATAATTAATGTCATTTCCTCATATTCTTCTGAGGTCGGAACTCGTACTTTTTGTGGTGCAAATGCACGTGATGGTCGAATTTATATCCTCGCGAATTCGTTCTACAGCTATAAGTAGAAATATGATAAATAAAACGTTTAATTATAATGCAGATGCTTTGAAGTTCTTTTCAGTTTGAGCATAAATGCCACGACATTCTATCAATCGTAGTTCACTCTCTTTCATTGTTGAAGCTGCGCCCATTCTAGATTTTGGAGCCTGCCCAAGTGCCTTTTCTGCAGCATCAGTGGTAATTCTCAATACTTTAGCCATTATTGTTAGCACTTCACTAACCGCATCTTGCAAATATAGAGCATCTCGTGTTTCTCTTGTATACGTGAAGATACGATCAATCAACAGCGCAGAAAATAAATCACCAACCCCAGTAAAGTAAGATTCAATTAACGGAACTTCAAAAATGGAGCTAGTTATCAAATCTTGATATTTAGAAGACGCAGCAGCCAGAATTTTCGAGCCATTTCCAAGTTTCATGGATGTTATCACAACATTGCTAACTTTGAATTTATTATGAAGATCGTACAAAGCCCTTTTAAGAGTTTCTGTAGATACAATTTTAAAACCAACAAGAAGTTCAGCCTCAAATTGATTTGGTGTTATCACATCAATCCCACCTCTCGAAAGAAGCTTTTGATAAACCGGTATAACAGTGTCACTGACATATAGTTGACCTTCATCACCCATTACAGGGTCTAATAACCACAATGCATTTGGATTTTTTGATTTCAAGTCATGACCTATCTCACCAACCACCTCTAGAGATTCAGCACCTGGTATGTACCCTGTTAGTAGTGCATTATACTCGCACTTTATTGAGGAAAGTCCATCATATAATGTTTTAAGGTCTTCTGGTGACGCTTTTGTACCTCTAACTGATCCATAACCTGTATGATTTGAAAAATTAACAGTATTCAGCACATCAACATCCCATCCTTGGCATTGAAGAGGAAATGTAGCAGCTTTGTTACCAACATATCCATGAACAACATGGGACTGAATCGAAAGTATCTTTTTTGCAGGTTCAAAGCTCATGACTCAGACGATGGGAAAGAAGATATGAATGGTAAGTGAGTTTTAGGCGAGTTTTGCTTTGATTCAGTTGTTCCTTTTAGTTTAATGAATGTAAAACTAACCAAGAAAGTCCGAAGCTCCAGTGATTGGTCTGTGTAAAGGTTTGAATCTTGGATAGACGTTATAATGAAAAGTTTGTAGCCTCTTATCTTGAATTCCCCGAACAATTTTTTTGGATCGTTGAAAACGTTGCCATGCGCACGCAAGCTGAAGAAAGAATCAACACAGTGTAGTTTGAGTTTGAAACCAAGGACCTAAAAAGAGCTAAAGTAGGAGGCACCAGCTAATAGTATTTGAGCCATAGCAGACTCATGACTTACAAACTCTACAGTATAAATCCCATAAAATCAACATATAGCTAAAACTAAAAAAAAACAGCTAGAGAGCAGCACAGCAGGTCCTGTCTAAGAAGCAAAATGCTTCAAGATCTCTTCTGCAGCTTTGATACCTGAAACAGCCATTGCACCAAAAGTTGGACCCATACGGTTGGTACCTTCCAACTCTGCAACTTCCATACCAGCAAAATAGATACCATCAACACCATCGTATTTACCAGAGTATTTAACTATGCCGGCTTCAGCAGCATTCATATCTAAACCTCTCATACCACCTAAAGATTTTCTCTTGTCGATAGAAACAATTCTCTTAGCACTGAAAGCACCCATTGGACCATCATGGCCAGTTGTTGACAAAACAACACCGTGCTTAACATTTTCATCACGAGAACCGTCATTCTTATAGCCAGCTAATTCTATGACATTTGGATCCATACAACATTGAGTATCGTGATTTAAACTGACCAAGGTCCAGTTAGTAACGACACCGGCAACTGTGATATTACCTGTCTCTGGATGAGTTCTGGTAACTAAATCTTCAACAGCAGTAGCATTGAATAGCTTTACATTTGGAAAGCTTAAAACTTTTGAAATGATTGTGGAGATGAATAATTCAGCATGTTTGACAACAACATAATCACCTTCATCTTCATATTCAACACCAACTTCTTCCAAAAATAAATGTGCAGGTTTTCTCATGATCATAGCAGAGAACAATTGACCACCCAAGTGACTACCTATAATGGTTGTTAGTGTTTGATTTTTGAAATTTGAGAGTTTCTACGGCCTCAGGAATATGGACTCAAACTCTCAGAATGACTTTAACTTACCTCCACCACTAGCTACATTGGCTTCAACAATAGCAATTTTCAAATCAGGTCTATTCTTTGCAAGGACATAAGCAGCAGAGAGACCTGAAGAACCAGCTCCAACAATAACCACATCTGAAACCGCAAATTTATCCAAGTCTTTGAAATAACGAGAAGTCATGGCTCTTGAGACAGTAGATTCACGGATTGGAGCAAAGGCAAAATCACTCCAGTCTTCAGTCTTAACGACATCACTCAAAGCATGTCTGATTGGTGGTGTTCCTGAAATGTGTAAATTGGAAGCTTGTTCTGTAACAGTTTGGATAGTTGATGACATATTTAATTCTTGATAACTTCAAAAAAAAAGAGCATGCGAACAAGAGGAAAAATAGTCTCCTTTTATAATGAAATTGAATTCATTCCCAAATCCTTTGATATCGATATCTTTTGTCACCATTAAACAGGTAAACTATTGTGTATGCGCTTATTGGTATGAAGTCTGCGATAAAACAAATTGGTAAGAGCACCAAACTATAATGAATGGGAAAATGTCTAATCTCAGCACAATGAAAGGTAAGCGCATTTGCAATAATGTTGACCAGTACCAGTAAAATTAGGGGGCTTTAATTGAACCATCATTGTACAGTTGGACCATAACATGAGAGTTTCGGAACACTGTTTAACAGAATATTCATTTGAGAAACCAACATATCCTCATTGTAACAACATTTGATAGTTAAGCTTCAAATCTTGAAGCATTCTATCAAGTGGTACCTCATCAAAAATCATCAGAAAGGGGAAAAGCAGCAAAGAATAGTGATATTTTCATCTGCAGTCCATGTAATTATTGATTCCATTGACGTGGGATGTTAAGTAAAATAAATCTAACATGTAACTATTATGTAGCTCCATATTTTGAGACCCTTATACCAGCTTCATCAATCAAAGTACCAGTTGAAACCGCATAACTCTAAAACTCTTCCTTCTTGATGGGAACGTTGAGTAAATTAAAGTCAGCTTAAAGTTTATTTCACCGTTATCGAAACAAGGAAACCATAGAGCTTGGAGCTTAAGCGCATATTGGGAAGATACATATTCCTTTTAGCTTATCACTGCAACCCTGTCATCATCATAAACATTATTGTTCAACTGGTAGGATTTAATGAGTAAACGGTCTTCACGACTAATCGTCTCCGACTTTTTTTCTTCTACACTTCCGCGAATTATCATTATGATCATATCGACATTAAATTTTTAACACCAAGTGAATACTGGTGGTTTAGAAGTAACCATTTGTAATCTTTCTATGATAACTTTTTTAGTAGCAATAGCGTCTTGGGCAAAAGTCAATCCATCTTCGTTTGTTTCAATGTTTCTAGGGGTTGAGAGAACTGAATTCTGATAAGTTGTTTCATTGATATCTCCGTTCAAGAAATCGTTCCAGTTGTTTTGTAAAGAGGATGGTGCAGAATTGACTTCTTCTTGTACAATTGTATCTTCCTGAATTGGTGCTAGAGATTTCGAAGGTGATTTTCCAACTTTATTTATAGGAGTCTCTATAGCATTTGACATTATAGAAGTTGGAACATGAACTGGAACTTCCATCTCTTCATCATGAACCAAAACTCTTGTTCTTCTGGCTAGTTCTAATGGGCCTTGGGTAGGGTTTTTCAAAGTTTCAACAACATTGAAAGCTTGACCCTTCATTACTGCCCATTGTTTTCTCCACATTCTTTCTTTAAAATCATCATCTCTTGCAAATAATTGTCTGAAAAGAACTGCACATTCCTCCCACCAAACAGTTGAAGTCAATAATGGTAAGAAATGATTTCTAGTTTTTTCAGAAAAGGGTTGACCTATAATACTAACGGGTAAAAATAACCAACCAAATGGATATGATCTCCATTCATCTGGATGTTTCCATGGCCATGCTAAACCTGAATCAATAGCGCCAATTTTCAACTTGGGTGTTTTAATCCCATTATTCGTTTCCCAATCCAGTTTAATCATCCAATTATCTAACCCTCTATCAGTATTTCTCATAATGTAGTCAAGTATAACCAATTTCTCCAACTCTTCACGAAATTGTTGAATAACATCTGGTGTCCATTTAAAAACTGGGGTATCATCCATGTTTATAATTGCATCATCTTTGAATCTTGGGAAAACTCCAGTATCTGAAAATCCTGGTAAGTTCCATCTTGAGCCTGGAAGAGGGTGTTTACTTAGAAATTTATCTGCTTCTTGATATCCATTCAAAAATAATTGATATGAACCTATCTTAGGGTGTAATGGTTTCTTGGACCTTCTATCCCAGAATGAATAATAAAATGTATCACTCGATATATAAACAGTATCTGTAAATGGTACTATATCTGTCTGTAGTTGTTTATCTAGAAAGCAAGCAGCAGTTTCACAAATATAACCAAGATTGGGTATAAGACAACTTCTTCCGAAAAAGCAAGGGAATAAATTTCTATGCAGCCACTTCGTCCATTTAGGTGATATTGGACCATAAGGTTCTTCATCTTTTGGCTTGAAGACTCCAACAATTTCATTATTTGTATTGAAAATGAAATAACTTCCTGATGAACCAGCAGCTATTCTTTTCGGGTGAATCCCATTTTCTATAGCTTCTATTGAATTCTCCACAATTGCATCAAATTGTACTTTTGTAAAAGTTCCAGTGTTTATGAACCCTTCTTCAGGTATTTGTTTCAAAGGAGTAATATTTGGAGGTGGTTTGAAAACAGAATATTGAATTTCATTGGGTATTCCCTCCACTGGTTTTGAGCTTAAAGTCCATTTGGCAATGGAGTTCGTCCATCTTGATACGGTGTTGTTTATAGTTTTCAAGTCTATTGACATTATTGAATGTGATCTTTTAGCTCTTTTTCTAATTGGTTCACTTGATAAGTTGTAGGAATCAGTGCCGGGATCTCTAAAAGGATCCAAAAGTTGTGCTTCTTCATCATCGTGATAGCTTGGAAACTTTGAATGCCTTATAATAGCAGCAGGAGCACTTGTTGATATTGGGCTTGACTTCACAATCCTTTGCGCCAAGGGTAGCGCACCGCTATAAAGTTGACTATGATCTTCTTCATTTTCATCAAATAGCCATTGTTCCTCAGGAGAAACACTGACTTGATCTTCAGCTTCCTCTGAATTTAGCTGTTCATAACCTGTTCTTTCAGGCATTCTTGTGGTGATGCTTAGAGTAACTTGTTATGTGGTTTCGAATGAGTGATTATAACATCCCGCCATAGTGAGGTTAGAATTATCACTAAATTCAAGTATCCAGCTAGTGATAGCCAGGCGCTAGTTGAACCCGTCAATACCGGGTAAATTGGTGATAAGCTGCAGCTTTTACATGGCAAACGGAAAATTTTAAATAAAGTAGCTAAAATTTCAGGGAAATTAGTTTTAAGTCATGTCGCAGGGAACTAGCCAATAACTAAATACTAAGAGACTGAAATATTGAATAGTTTTGATACTTTTTCAATAATTTAATTGAAAACGGGTATACGCGGGAATAAAACATCCGGACACCAGAGAATATCGTGTAGTTTTTCAACGACTTTTTAATGAAAAATTCATCCGTGATAGTTTAGTGGCTAGAATCACCGTTTGTCGTTTGACAGTACATGGTAGACCGGGGTTCAATTCCCCGTCGCGGAGATCTCTTTTTTTGCCAAATTTTGCTAATTTTTTAGCCATTTTAGACCCCTCAGTGTATCGTTATATGGTTAGTATTAAATTCATATAGAAATTGGGGCCTTAGGATGCTTTTTGTTGTTGTTTTGGCTATTTGAAGATTAATGTCCACCAACAATTTCATGATCGGAAATCCGTTTTGTGTTACACCGCGAATTATTAAATCCACGAGGCATTGTATTCATGTATAAGTTAATTAACGGAACTATAAACAACTTCAACTGAATAATTCACAGAAAATGATTAAAAAAGTCTAAGAAAATTAATGTCACGTCTGCAGCTTCAAGATTGATGCAATATTGTTGCAAGCTCGCTGTTGGATATAGTTATTTGTTCAAATATTTGATTGCGACACCTAATCAAATTACAGATGGTGCAATGGTGTTACAATATTGGGTAATTATAAGTAGAGCTGATAAAGAGAATCCCGCAGTATCACTAGAAAGAATGACAGATCAACATGTGCAGATGGAGCTGTTTCAGCTACCAAATACAAGATGGTAGCAATTAGCGAGGTTTTAAAGGGGTTTGAAGGAAGATGCTAGCTAGTGTAGGAATTATTATATAGATATACGTTAATTGAGCACAAATTCAACGTCAATATCAATAAGTACATATTGGCATGTTTATATAATATACAATGTATAATTTAAACATAAATTATATAATATATAATTATCCCTCATGAGTAACGTATTTTTTTTTTTTTTTTTAGTTAATGATGTATTTGATGAACTAGCTGTTGGATGAGGAATGCAATTACGCACGAACCGCTTGGATTGTAGGCTTCTCGCTATAATATTGTTAGAGTATTTGTGATTAATATTTATTAATCAATTATATTATGATCATTAATATGTAATATTATTAACGTAATTTATATACAAAATCACAGGGGACAGTTCAGTCTATGATCACTGATTTAATATATACTAGCTGTTAAAGCTGCACTAGGGATAATTAATCAGAATAAAAACAGGTAAGCTGAATCATCATGAACGTCTAAAATTAAACCTGGCCATATAATTTGTGAATTTGAATTTAAATTAACAATATATTAAACGTCGACGCGGTTTGCAATATTAACTAGAGCTGAACTATCTAAATATTATTATAAAAATTGTCTAAATATTATTATAAAAATTGTTGAAGGGCCTGCAAAAAATTATTTCGAGCATGAGACCTACATGGAACGAATCGGTTCGACGTCAATATGGATGTCCTGTAGTATGAGACCCTGTTGTCGCTTTAGTTTTCGAGTTATTGTTGTTCAAAGTTGGTGTTTTAGTGCTTCCGACCTCCGTTTGTAGATGGCGTGAGAAAAACAAATGTAAACATTGACCTTTTTCTACATCAACGTCTATGAAAAACAATTTAAATCAAGTTCAACATGAAACTGAGACGCTCTTAATACTTCACAGTGAATAATATTCTTTTGACTGTACATGGAGACATGGTGTGTGCCCAAAGATTGAATGCTTTTTTAACCAAACCTTCAATTGATGATTTGAAATGTAATCAGACTCAATGTTAATTCCAAGATGGTTTACCAATTACTCTCAATATTACTACTCAATCAAACTGTCAAGTTACTTTCCAAACTCATACCCTTAGGGTAGCAGAATTCCACAGACGTTGTATTTGGAATTGGAAATGCTAAAGATATGATGTCTATGGTGCTGCTTCAGAGTTTCATACGCAGAGGTTTGGGAAATGTCGATAAATGACGAAAGTTTCTAAAGGATATTCCACATTAATGCTACAATTGGATGGTAAGTTCAAACTTTCAAGACTGCTTTAGTAGATGAAGCTTCTGCTGGTGTTGTGCAGGGTGTCTGGTGTACAGGTGAATTGAGAATACTGAAGAAGTGTTGACTAAGGTGTCGGGCACATTAATGGCGTTACAGGGTGTCTGGGTACTATACTGGCTTTACTGAGAGTCTTGGTACCATAATCATGCTACAGGGTGTACTGGTGGACTGGGAAATACTGAATGAGTGTCGACTATGGTGTTGGGTGTTATTGGAAAAACTGGTGAATGAGAATGCTTTCAAGAATGGGATAGATAAAGCTCCTGCTGGTGGTGTAGGGTGTAGGGTGGATTGAGAATGCTCTAATAGATGAAGCTTCTGCTGGTGGTATAGGGTGTAGGGTGTACTGGTGAATTGATAGGGCTGATAATGAAGTGATGACTAGGGTGGTGGGTACTTTAATGGATTCATACAACTGAAAAATTCATATCTCAATGTTTCAGGGCTATCACGCAAATGATGCAAATATGCTGGAAATTCTTAATACATCAACTGTTTTGTCTTCACATGAGTGAATCCTTTGAATTCAAATTGTAGCTCGATGCTTTTCCTCCAAATCTCGCCTAAGTCTACACAAGCCGAAGGCTAAACTCACTCGCTTGTATTATAATTAATTAATAATATAGTAAGCTTATATAATTATAATATAGTACGCTAGAATTATTATTAAATATCGTCGACGACGACGCCTCGAATTAATAATTTAATATAGCTGTATATGTAGTACTACGTCGTAGTTAGCTGTACTTGAATTATTTAATAAATCATATTGTGTATAATAAAAGTTATAATAATTAATATAGATATAGTATAAAAGAAATCAACTGATCATATAATATAAAAGCTGCAACTAGTTATAAACTGACAGCTATAATGTTGCAATTAATGATCAGGATATTCATAATCTTTCTTCAAATCTCAATTCATCAGAAATTGGGATTCCAACCAAAATTTTCAAGAAATTTTCCAAACCTTGTTTTTGTTTTGTTAATCCATTAATAGTTTGGAAACCTTTTCTAGTTAATGGAGCTTTTAACCAATAACTCAAGTAACCCAAGATTGGATATAAAGATTTGGAATCTTTTGAATCAACATCTTTATATGAGACTCTTGTTAAGAATTCAGTCATAATAACCAAATCAATAATTAAAGGAGTAGCTAATAAAGAATCTTCACAAACATTTGAAATTGAAATTCTATTATGACCACCAAGCATTAATTCAGAATAATATTCATCCATGGCAATTTTAGTATCACCAACAGCTGGTAAATATTTGATAACAATGGTATGATCAACTTTATCACCTAATTCTTTGTTATATAATAAATGATTTGATTCCACAATATCATCAATAACTGAACCTTTTGAAATTTCTTTTGATCTAAATTGTTCATTTGAACTTAGGTTGAACCCATCATTATTACCTAAATGATTATAAGAAGCAATTGAAATTGGTTTAATACCAGCATCAACCAAGAATTGAGCCAAGACAGATTTCAATTTAGTTTGACCAGATTTAAAATCATCACCACCAATAAAAGAATCATTTTGTTCAGCTAATTCAACAACACCTGGAACAAAAGTATTTTGAGGAGAACCATTAATGAAGGCAACATTTTCCAAGATTGAAGCAACAGCAAAGACTGTTGATGGAGAAACTTCTTTATGACCAGATTTAATTGATTGAATTAAATTTTCAGCGTTATCATTAACACCATCAATGATTGCAGAATAACGTTCAGTATTAGCAGTCCATAAGACAATAACTTTATCTAAATCATTTGATTTTTTAAAATTTTGAATATCAGATCTAATTTGTTCAACATGATCCCATTTATTAGATTGATCGATTTTACCATTTGAATCAACATTGAAAATATTATCAGCTCTTTCTTCTTGGTTAGCAGCAATGAAATCAGGATAGTAAATTGATTTTAAAGGTTTATATTTGGATAAAGTTGAACCTAATTGAGATTGTAAATCATAAGATAAAACTTTAGCTCTTTTAGCAGCATTTTGTAAATTTTCACCATTAATATCCCAACCACTAACAATTAAATCATTTGGATTAACTAAAGGTAAAATTGAATTGAAAGGAACATAAACATCTTTACCAGATTCATCAATACCAATTTTAACAGTGGAAGCTTGAGTAACAGAACCGAAATAGTTTGATTTAATTTCACCATCTTTTGTATTAAAGACAATTTTTTGTTTATTTGATTCCACAGCGGAAACAAAAGTAGTACCATTATTACCACCCAAACCAACTAATAACAAACCAACTTTTGGGACTTTCAAATCAACTTGAAATTCATAATCTTTAGTGAAAGGTTTAACTGTATAAGTTTCACCTTGTTTTGAAACAATTGAGTTTTGATAGGTGTAAGAAGAAGTTAAAACAGTGTTGTCACTGTTATACTTGACGTTATCATTTGAGACTTTTAAAGAAACCATTGTTGAAGTTAATTAATGAAAGATTATATGCCCCAGCCCTGAGTTTGCAGTTGAACGTTTGTTGTTGTAAGGGTGGTGTTTTGAAGATAATAGATTGGAAAACAGTTTGACTGATTCAAAGAAGCACAAGACCAATTGATGTAATTGCTTTGTACTGATGGAAGAAAGAAGGATTGAAGATGGAATTGGAATGGGTTCTGAAGGTGTTTATATAGTTTTCGGATGTTGATATAATTAAATTCACATGTCAATTGGCCCCTTTTAGCATACGTAATTGGTAATTGGGCTTATTATTATTATTATCATATTAACCAATTGAATTAGAAGATATCTATTATGGAAGCATTGGAATCAGATTGAATCGAGATCATAATATTATGAATTGTATAACATCATAACCATTACCATCACCATCACTAACTTCTCTTTGAATTGAATCTATTCCTTGTCACTTCTCCATCTTTTCAATCGTCTTTAATCACATGTCAAACAAAGAGTCATGTCACGTGACACTTTTTGAGCATACGTAATCCCAGCGGAATTATAATCTCTACATGTGAATATTATCATGCTCTAGTATTCAATCTATTTACCAGTCCCAAAGAACTCGTTGAACCCAACCAATGTGAATCTATAACGAACATCACCTTTATCCAATCTGGTCAACCCTTCACTGACACCAGCCTCACTCACCTTGATGGTTTCAACCCATGGCTTAATATCATGTTTAACAGCCAATTCAAATAATTCAATGGCTTCAGCTCTAGATCCTAAACAACTTGATCCAACTGCTGACCCATTACTGAAAAATGTAAATGGTTGGACTTCAAACTTTTCATCAACATGTGGTAAACCAACACTGATAAATGATCTATTAACTTTTAAAGTCTTCAACAATTTATTTAAATCCAAGGCACTTGTTGATGAAGCACAATTCAAAATTAAATGGAATGTATCATATAATTTGCTTTCAAAATCTTTTTCCTCTCCTGTGGCAACAAAATGATCAGCTCCCATCTTTTTGGCATCTTCTTGTTTAGAATAAGATCTTGAAAAAGCTGTAACTTCTGCTCCTAAAGCTTTTGCAATCATAATAGCCATATGTCCCAATCCACCTAATCCAATGATGGCAACTTTTGGAACAGTGTTTTGAACATCTTGAATACCTCTTTTAATTGGTGAATAAACTGTTAACCCACCACATTGCAATGGTGCAACTAAATGACTTTCAATCCCTTCAGGAATTGGGAAAACTAAATGTTCATGAGCTCTAACATGAGATGCATAACCACCTTGAGAAACATATCCATCTTCATAACGGGAAGCATAAGTTCCAACAGTTTTGGCACAATATTGTTCGTTACCTTCTTTGCAACGAGAACATTCAGTACAACATGAAGCTTGAGCACCTAAACCGACTCTATCACCAATTTTTAACCCAGTTTTACATTTTGAACCTAATTTAACAACTTTCCCAACAACTTCATGACCAACACATTGAGTCTTTGGACCATAAGTTGAACTCAAACAAAGTAATTCATCATGAGACCATTCGTTTTTCAAAGTGAATAATTCACTAGCACAAACACCACAACATTCAACTTCAATATCAACATCATTATCACCAAAATGTTTTGGTTCAAATGAAGTTAATTTCGGAGCTGACCATTCCTTTGGATCAGAAATTGCAAATCCTTTGAATTCTTTTGGATAATTGACAGTAGTGGAAGACATTGTATTAATAATAAGTGTAATTGAGTGGGATTGAGTCGAATGAATGAAAGTTTCAAGTCCGAAATCTCAAATGTTTTTATACCCAATATTTTTTTTTTAAATTTTGATTGACGTCCGAGCCAATTTTAATCATGGAAGCTTTTGGCCATTCAACGTCGACAATCATCATGAAAAATGTTTACAGCAATCCAAGATTTTAGTACACGGGACTTTTGGAGCGAATGAAAGTTCGGTTTAATCAACTATTCAATAAATTGAGATGCTTGTGATATGAATTGCTTGATTGTAGACGTTCAGCTGGTTATAATTCATGCTCAAGTTGTTGCAACTTGTTGTCGTTATCTGCATGATCATGAAATTTTGATATCATCGATTTATAATTCGACAATTGATCGCAATTGAGGCAAGTTGAACCATCAAAATTACTAGCTACTAGCTATATTTCTACAGCAATTGACGAAGTATATATTACGGAAATATCAAACCAGCCGTAGGCTAAACGATGCAGAGCAGCGTATACCTACAATAATAGGCTATAGCTGAACCACGGCAATTAGCAGCTTATTAATACATTGATCTAGAACAACCAATTACTAAACAAAACACATTGTTCATGTATACAGTGCTCTGACTTTGACCATATGTTCATAGGACCATAATACTCCTTCATTATTTACATTGATATCGACGCTTATACTTATTCTGAAAAATGGTCACATGACTTATTTCGCGAATTGATTCTGTATTTCGCGAACTGATTTTGCCCATTTTTTTTTTCGTTGAAGGGCAAAAAACCTTTGAATTCAACATCAACATCAACTTCATCAGCTAATCAACCAATTACCCCAAGATGAGCTTCCCTTATATGCAGAACGATCTTTCACAGTCTGCCCAGCTCCAGAAACTGAACCAACTACAACAATTGTCCTTCTCTCCTCAAATAAACCAAAGAGCTGGTTTAAACCCTTTATTATTACAACAACAACAACAACAACAACAGGCCCAAGTACAAGCTCAATTACAAGCCCAACAATTACAAGCTCAGCAGCAACAACAACAACAGCAACAACATCAGCCACCACAAGTACCAGGATCAGTTCCATTACCAATAACAACTGTTAAAGAAGTTTGGAATGATAATTTCCATCAAGAATTTAATATAATACGTCAATTAATTACTCAATATAATTATGTTTCATTCAGTACAGAATTCCCAGGTATATTGGCCAGACCAATTGGTGTTTTCACTTCAACAAATGATTATCATTATCAAACTTTAAGAACAAATACTGATTTATTGAATTTAATTCAATTTGGGATTTCATTAAGTGATTCAAATGGTAAAAAACCTGATAATATTTATAGTACTTGGCAATTTAATTTTAAATTTGACTTGAATTCAGAAATGATCTCAAATGAAGCTTTTGAATCTTTAGTTAAAACTGGAATTGATTTTAATAGACATCAAATGTTGGGTATTGATCAATTTGAATTTGCAGAATTATTAACAAGTTCTGGATTAATATTATTACCAAATGTTTATTGGACAAGTTTCCATTCAGGTTATGATTTTGGGTTTTTAATTTCTTTATTAACAAATAATCAAATGCCTTCAAAAGAAGAAGATTTTTTACATAAAATTGGTTTATTTTTCCCCAATTTATATGATTTGAAAATATTATCAAAAGGTTTAACAAATAAAGAAACAAATCCAAAATTAAGCTTGGAAAATCTTGCAGATGAATTAAATATTCCAAGATTAAATATTTTTGTATCTACTGGAGGTCAAGCACTTTTAACAAATTTAACATTCATTGAAATGAAAAACAAGCTTCATGATATAAACAAATTCAATGGATTGATCCATGGACTAGTTACTGAACAGCAACAGCAACAAAATCCTCTTTTAAATGAATTATGAGTATTATTTTCTTCCTTAACAATGCTTTGAGATGTAGTGCGTGAACCGATTTGTTTTTTTTTCCAAAGAAGTTTTTTTTTAAAGAAAAAAAGTGAACCATCAACAGACTTGAGAAAAAACACACAAGAAATTAATTGACTCTTTTTACCCCCTGGGAAGTTGAAATCAATTACAATCTATTGTTTCATTTGTTGGTAATTAAAATTCCACTTGTCATCATCGTTCCCTTTTTTTTTCTATTTGTCATTGTTTTTTTTCCGTTGTTGTTTGGTTTTGTTAAAGTATAAATAATGTCACCATCTCCATCACCATCTTCTGCTGAACAAGTCACTTATTCATTTGTGAGCTTTTATTATGGGAAATTACATGAAAACCCTACAGAATTATATCAAGCTTATACAAAAGATGCCACATTAACTCATTCAAAAATCCCTTCAAATAATAATGATCAAGAAATTATCAATAAATCAATTGAATTTGAACAAGTTTCATCAATTCAAGAAATTGAAAATTTTTATTCAAAATCAAATATTAAAAATTGTAAAATTAGAGTCTCAAGTATTGATTATCAAGCGGTTTCATTAAACAATTCTGTTTTAATTTCAATCATTGGTGAATTGGCTTTAACTGATGAAAGTCCAGTTTATAGATTTACTCAATCTTTTATCTTGGTTCCAGGTAAAGTTGCTAATGCTTATGATATCAGTAATGATATCTTTAGATTAATTCCTGATGATGATTTTGAATTGAACCAAGATGAAGAAATTGCCGTTGTTGAAGAGAAACCAAAAGTTGAACAAGAGGTACAATTAGAAGATGAGACTCCAAAAATTAATGGTGAAGTCAACGAGGAAAAAAAAGAGGAGTCACCTGAAGCGGTTGAAATTGAAGCTGTTGAAGAACCAAAACAAGTTGAAACTGCTGAAGAGGAAAAAGAAGTTGAAATTGTTGACGAGGAAACTCCTGAAATTCCAGAAGATGAACCAAAAAAGAATGAAGTTGAAGAAGAAAAAGAAGAAGAAGAAGTCAAACAAGATGAGAAGCAAACCGAACAAGAACCTGCTAAACCTGTCAAGAAAAGCTGGGCTCAAATCTCAAGTTCTGCTCCTGTTGTTTCAACAAATGTTGCAAAACCAAAACCTAAATCAAAAGCTACAACACCAACAATCCCAAACACTGACACTACAAAAGAATCTAAAGAATCAAAAGAACCATCACCAAAACCTCCTTTACAAAACATCACCAATCAAAAGGCATCAAGAAAGAAATTTGAACATTTGTACCCTGTTTTAATCAAAGGTACCGAATATTTAACTGCTCAAGATTTGAAAATTGCATTGGATCAAGAATTTGGTAAAACTACTAAAGTTGAACCAAGAGGCACTTATGCTTTAGCTGATTTTGAATTGGAAAAATCACAACAAAAGGCTTTAGCTACCAAAAATTTAAAAATTGGGTCAAGCACAATCTTAATTGAACAAAAAACTAAAAGATATGAATTTAAAGATAGAAAACCAAATACCAATAATAATACCAACCAAAACAATAATAAGAATAAAGATGGCCCAAGACAAAATAATAATGCTAATTATAATCAAAAAAAGAAAAATACAAACAAATAATGTTCAATTAATGAAATCAAAAAAATCAAATTAAGATAATATCAAAAGCTGCATAATAATATGATGATTATAGAATAGCTTATTTATGAAGTTAAAAGTGAAAACAAATAGCTGTTTTAATATGGCGCTCGTACAATTAAATTACAAATAGTTGTATAACTCCAAAAAAAAAAAATATAATAGCATAAATAACAACTATTTAAGCAATTCTTCAATCACTCTATTTTCAGTTCTTGGTTCACCAGACTCGATTTTCTTCAAACCTAATCTTCTTAAAACTTCAATAATCTTATCCCTTGGGAATCCCATATTTTCAAAATTTTTAACTGTTGCTTCATCAATACCATATAACTCGGCATCGCTAACATTCTTTGAATCGCTATCAGAAGCATATATTTGAGTCCAATATTTAGCAGTATTGGTGAATCCATTTCTATCGGATATATAATGCTTAGCAACTTCAGCATCTTGTGGATCATTTGGTTCTGGTGATTGAAATAATGACTGTAACGAAATTAATGATGACTTTATTGTCAAGATTGGTGTCCAAGCATCTTTCAAACTGAAGGCAAAAAAAAAATTAGTATATACTAAAATATGGATTCTTCAAGTTACTCACATATCTAAACAAATTGCACCTGTGACTGATGAAATATTTGGATGATAAACTTTGGTGTCAAATTTCATAATTGGTGGTTTGAAAGGGTCTTTTAAATGATTAGCAACTTAAACTCAAAATTAATACTCAAACGCTACACTTACATTCATTCTAGAATATCTAGTTAATATTATATTCTCCAATATGGAAATTCACATTACTCACTGGAATTTTGATATCAACGACAAATTTACCTCCTGCATATGGGGTATCTGGTGGTCCAATAAAAGTACCCTTGAGATGACTTAAATCATCTTCTTGAACCAGATTAAGGGTTATCGAGGCTTCAGTATCTTTCTGGACATCGTCCAATTCTTTCACAATACGTTTCATTCTAGACATTTTGGTATAATTCTCAATGTTTAGAACAAAATTCAACTCACAAGTTTGGATTTTTCAATTCATTTTGTTGTTTTGTTTTAATTTTGTGGAAAATCTCACCAAAACATTACACGGTACGAAATGGCAGTACTTACCCTCAATAGAAAACACAATAAAAACGCTTGATATCAAATACTATACAAGTTCAAAGAATCTCACGAACATTTCTTGGTTCATCTCTGGAGTCCTGGGGTTCCAAGTTTGATCTAGACCCAGTAGTTGTACGTTGTTCATTCTTGTCTTGTTGGTCAAACGTCAAATATGAATGATCTCCCAATTTTCTTGGTTGAATAATATACTTAATCAAAAATATTATTCCAAAAAACACAGATAAAGCTGCAACAACGAGATACGCAATACCAAGACTTAAATTTCTACCACCGACAACGCTGCTAGATGTTAAAACCATAGATTTGGTACCTCCAAACATGGACACTGGGAAATTTAATCCAATATTTATAACGTAATCACCCTTTTCCAAAGTTTGTGAATCATTTCTTAAAGCCAACTTCATAAAGCTTGGTAATCCTGCAGTTCTCATCCAGACTTGTAATGCTTCCCATTGTGATAAATCTGGTAAGTTCTCACTAGTATAACCGTCTGGATATCTTTTAGCCCAATTTGGTGGTGGTACAATATCTGATGGGTCATATTTTGTTTTCTTATACTTTGATCTGTCTGCACTCCAAGAAATTTTTTTATCAGTCATATCATAAACTGAACTTTCATCATCTGACTTATATGGTGATTGAAATGTATCATTAAAAAATGAATTTGCAATTAACCCACATGGATAATATGGTTTACCTTCAGAGTTTGTTTTTAAAGGTTTACAATCACTATCTAGATCATCTGCACTAACTGCTTCACCCTTTAGTTGTTTTAAATCATAAGATTCAACATATTCTCTATGGTTTTGATAAAATTTGGTTAATTTATAATATAAAAACACTGGTGCTTTTATTTCATGTGGGATTGAGAATTTAATTTGACAAGTTAAATCATCATCATTCTGAGTCAATTTCCATTGCGGTGGATTATAATCTTTTGAATCATAAGATTGGAAATGCTTTGAAACGTATTGAGATGGGACTTGACCAAAATCTGATGTATTAGCTAATTCACTGCATTTACTGTACTCCACAACTAATTGTTGAACATTAAATGTAGTATATATCAACGCAATTCCTAAAGGAGTGAAAATGATGGCTATTAGGAATAATAAAGGTAGAACTGATCTTGGTGAAAGTATGGGTTGCCATGATTTTAGTCTTTGTTGTCTAAAAGCGGTATCTAATTTTTGTTAGTAAATTTTCAAGAATAAACCCCCCCCCCCATAAAAGGAAAAAACACTAACTTGGTGGCTTCCTAGACTTTGCTCTAGGTTGATCTACTATACCACTGATGTCACTCTCTCCAGAGGACCTTCTTTTCCTCAAAAATGATAACATAACCTCTATGTTTTTGAGGATTTCTCAGTATATGTTGAAGTGTCAACAATAATTAAAAAAAAAAACAAGAAAACTTCATCTTGATCCTTCGCGAAATCTGTCATTTTCAGACGGGCCACAACAACACTGCGCCGACTACACTACAAAAGTATATAAATTCATTAAATTCATATTCTCTCTAATATACAAATAATATTTTACAATCAGGCAGAAGCTACTGCTGGTGCAACTGACTTGGAATTGGAACCAATGTGACGTAATAATGATCCGAAAATATTTTCAAGCTCAGGGGCAGATTTTGTAAAATCCAAGTCAAAAAATGCCAATTCTGTGTTTTTCAACAACTCTGTAAATGTAATTAATAAACCCCAAGGATGAGGTCTGTTACATATAACTCTTTCCAATAAAACTCTGGTGATGATTTGTTGAACCTGTGATTTCTTACCGTTCCATAATGATTGAGCACCAAAGAAATGTAAAATGATATAACTAAACCATTGAGTATGGGAATTTGGATATCTCAATTGGTTACAAATAGCTTCAATCAAGTGATACTGGAATTCAACAGTGCCTTCTTGCATTAATCCCGACAATAATGCAAAATGTGAAGATTTTGGGTTGAATGTTTGTCCATTTGGTTGACGATCGTTAACAGCTTGTATTCCAACATACAAAACTATCGCATTGATAGCTTTAACATTGAAGTTAGATTTTGAATAACCAATACCTGCTTCTTCAACAGGTGTTTGCTTGATACCATTAATTATTGTTTTCAAAAGCATATTAGATGGAATTCTTAAATAACCATCTACTGGTTTCTTCAATGATCTCAAATCATTAGAAGGATTGTAAGATATGACAGGAGCTTCAGTAATTTCCGGCAGACGATCAACCTTCAAGCCTTGTGTAAATGGATCAGGCATTGATATGCTTTTTGGGAAAGCTGACAAAACAATATTTCTTAACTGAACAAACGATTGAGGAATTTCACAGCACAATTGATAATGATGCTGAACAAGAATCTCTGGATAATCATGAAGAAGCAGTAAAAAGATACGTAATGTACCTTTGTAAATGACCGAGATGACTTCTGGCATATCTTTTGATTTGATATATTTTGTTTCAAATCTTAGCAAGTCCAACAATAATAATACAAATTTACCTTGAGCCTTTGGATGATTTGATTCAATGATATTTGGCAAGAACATTCTATGAGATATCAATGTGACCCATGCAAATGCAAAACCTGGGAATGCAAGAGGTTGATAAGCATTGAAAAAATCAGCCAAAATTAAATAAAATGATGTATTGAAATCATCAAGATCATGTGAATCAGTAGCAACAATTGACCATTCTGATAATAATGTTGAAAAAATTCTGAAATAAGGTCTTTCATTAAATTCCGATTGTGAATTCTCATGATCATTTGCGAAAACTAATGATATGATTGATAAAATTAACTTGAAATAGTTTGAACGGGAAATTTCACTCTCTTGTTGCAAAATTAAAAGTTTAACAATAAGTTTGGACAAGGCATCAGTTGAAAGAAAAACATCACTAACTGGGTCACTTTCTTTGAAAAATGCAACAGAAATCTCAACGGCATTTCTGAAAAACAATGTCATACTTTCAGGTTTATTTAGTATACCACTCTTCACCATTTGATGAATAAAAACAATATGAAGCTTCTCATTTTTAGGCTCATGTTGCAACAAACGAACCCATTCCGTGAAAACATAACCCATTCTATCAGATTCTGAAACTTCATTATTAACTAGAGAAGTTGGTTCTTTCTCTAAAAAGTTCAAAAATTCCACAATATTCTCATTATCTTTAATATCTCTTAAAACATCAACGGTTAATGCAAAATCAGATCTGAATGCAACAGAGTTTTCAGAAGAAACACTCTCTTTAATCAATTTAATGGCAAAATCAATAGAATTTTTATTTTCCTTGGTGATTGATTTGGATAATGGTCTATCTAAATCAGATGCACTGATTAAACCAGCTTTCAATAAAGTGAACATCACCTTACTATTGAATTTTCTTTCATCAGAAGCATGAATTAACCACCAGCAAACATCTTTTCTTGTTGAAACTGAAATTGTACAGATCTTTTCTAACAAAAACACAAATACCTCAACTGACAAATCTGATTCGGATGTAGTGAAAAGAGCGTTAACAATAAATTGTGCGATTTTCAACATTAAAGATTCTCCAGCTAAATTTCTTGCAGTGAGACTAAAGATTTGTGTGATTATTAATCTGATTGGTGAATCAGAAGGTATGTCATCCAGTTTTGTACCTTCGACATCTGCAATAGCTTTTAAGAGACTATCAACTAGTGATTGTAAATATGCGAATGTTTGTTCAATTGTAATTGGCTGTTGTGATTGCTGCTGTTGATTAACATTATTGACACTTGAAGTTGGAGCCAATGCCTGTGCTTCTAGTTGTGGTTGGATAACTTGTGTTGTAACTGCATTTGGTGAAGTTAATTCATGTTTTCCAAAAGCATCATAAACTTGATATTGACGAGGTGTGACACCAGTTGGTTTCAACCCCAATGGTTCAGGCAATTGAACTGAGTATCTTGATAGATATTGAGAGTAAAATGGCTGATCAGTCCTTCTCTCTTGATGTTGGCGACGAGCAGCAATAGATGCGACCAAAACCTCATCAATTTCCTTCACAGCCTTATCCATAGCAGCATTTTCAACAAAACTGCAGGCAAGATCAATATTATCATTGATAGCTTGAGGAAGCTCTTCAAAAGGGGAGTTTTCGACATTTAATAATTGAGGAGCAAATGATTGAACTGTTGTCTGGATATTCTCCTTCAAAGGATCACGACAGGTTGCCAAAGCTAAACCTTCTGCCAAACGGCGAACTAAAGTGTAAGCGGCAGAACGAAGTTTTAGTTCATCAACTTCAGTGGCGAAATCTTTCAAAATCAAAGATCTAGCAGTAGTAACAGCAATGCTAACAGCCCTTTCGACAGCTGGTGGTAGGATTTCACGAATTGATTTTGTTAAAGCCATGATAAACAAACGTTTCAAGTTTGGATGTGTGACAAAAGATGTGGAACCCAACAAGTGCTGGAACAAAGCTTCATTGATTTGTTGCTGTGGTTGTGCAACCTGTGGACCAAGTTGTGGGGGAATTATCTGTTGTTGTTGTTGTTGTTGTTGAACTTGTGGTTGATTCATCAAAGAAGCAGGATCACGAGTAGGAACCTGTTGTTGAGCATCTGGTAAATTTGTTGGTTGTGTAAATTGTGGCAAGCCAGGGGCAGTGGTATCATTCAAATTCATATTAACAACACCATCACTCAAAGTAGCCTTTGGATCTGGTAAACCATGAGTTCTTATAAATAGTGTTGGCTCTAGATCTTTCAAATCAATCTTTAAACTATTGCACAAAACTTCAATTTCGAACCTCAAATTTAATTTCAAACTAGCATACTCATAAAGTTCAGCCAAAACCCTCAACACTCCAATTGTCCATGGATTAGGGTGTTCAAAAACCTCAGAACCTTTTGTTTGATCTAAAATTTTACAGACAAATGGGATCACAAGAGCTAATTTTGATGCTTCACTAGCCTCTAGTAAAAGATCTTTTAAAGACAAATTTCTATGCTTCAATGGTCTATTTCTTCCCAAAGTAATTCTACCTAACCAGCTACCCAAATTTTTTAAATATGACCGTTCACTTGGTGTCTCTTCAGAATCATTCAACAAATCGCTCACTTCTTCCAACGTCACACTAGTAACATACTCAACAAACAAATCGTTTGATATAACATCAACAAGTGAGCCATACAGGACATGGTTGTTTGGTTCTGTTTTAGCTCTCTGTCCAACAAGATATGTAGCAAACCAATGGAAAATTGAAGGACTTAAAAGTGCTTGTATTTCTTTAGCTTTAGACAACAGGTTCTCATCTGACATGTTGTTAACCAAAAACAAAATACGCTGTGAAACTTCTTGTCTTGGTTGTTCTTGAGTAATGTTGTTAGGAAACAGAACCTGTGCGGTAATAGACTTGAAAATTTGTGGTTTTGCTTCAGATCCACCAGCTGCCGCCGTGGTGTTTGATGCAAATATTTGTTGATGCTTCTGTGTTTGATTCAATGGCACATCACCACCAGACGATTTATTATTAACAGCATTTATGATAATTTGATAAATTTGGGGTTGTGATTTTAAACTATCAACCTCGGATAAAGCTGAACAATAATTTGGAAATTCTTGTAATCTTTGCCTGAATGCATAAAGAGCTTGAACAGCAAATTTGAACATATTAGAGTCTGGTGATTGATTGCAAGAATCTAAAATATATCTCAAGGCAATTGTTAAAGCTGTTCCTCTTATCAACTGGAAATAAATCATTGAACCAAACAAGACAGACGTGATAGCTAAAGCATTTAATGGGTACTCAGGGAAAAATCTATATTCATCCAATAATGAATGAATCATACAAGCAAACACATCTTGATCTCTAGGAACATTACTTTCTCTAAGTTCCGACAACATTGTGATCACATCTTTGATATCAATCTCATGGTTGTACATTCTTTGATAAAATACTTTCATTTGTTGTTCAACATCAAATGGGAAGGTATTAACATCACCATTAGCCAAAATAACATCATCATGTCCGAATCCAAAATTAATTAAACGCGGGAATGCTTGTAAAGTTTGAGATTGTATTGATTGAAATTCTTGAAATTGTGTTTCACTTAAATCCTGTTTAGCAACAGTTTCCAGCAATGTAAAAATGGCTTTCAAGCTCGTTGTTTTTTGATTATTGGTTTTGGATTCATCAATCGAGGACTGGACACGTAAATAACTTAATAAAACATCATTGAAAGATGTGTCTCTTTTCTTCTTGAACAAATAACTGGAGAATCCTTCCCAGCCAGCCTTAACAGACAAAACAGCAAGATCTAAACCATTTGCAAGATCAACCGATTCCAAGTAACCGCTGATAAGGTCACTGGAAACCAAGTATGCCATGATTTGATCATTTATGGAGACCTTATTGGTAATCAATTTACCAACTATTTTCAGCAATTGATCCTTTTGATCAAGAGTTTTCAAAATCAATGGATAATATGAGGAACTACCATCTAATAAATGCACAACCAAGTTTTCTAGCAAATCATCAATAGTAGGTGATGGTGGTGAATATTGTAAACAACCAAGTGCAATCAATTCTGGGGCGGTTCTAATATCTTCCTCAAATATTTGATGCAAAAATCTTTTGTGCTCAATATTTTCAATAGCACCTGAATTTGAAATACAATCAAGTTCTAACTTGGTAACATTGTAATAGTAAAGAACAGAATTTTTCAAATTTGGATAAGATAAATCACTGACAATTGGCTTCAAATAGTTTGTTCTTAATAAATCAAATGCTCCTAAAGATGGGTTCAATTGTCTTAGTGAAATGTACAAATTAATTTTGAAATCATTTGGCCATTGATATTCCAAAAAAGCATCAATGGTGCTATCATCGAAGGCCGATAAAAGTTCACTCAATGACTCCTGAGTAATGACAGGATTGACTAACCTCGACAACATCTTGCTAAAGATAACGTTCCAAGTTGGTTGTTTTGGCAATTTTCTAATGATGGATCCAAACTGAGACCCCTTTGCAGAAGCTTCAGGAACATTTTGAGGAGTAAGAGCAGTCAGACCTGGTGTATTTGCCAAGTTTTGTGATCCTGGATACAAAATTTCTGACAATAATAATGCAAGTGCGTCATCTAAGTCTTCTTGTGATTGAATTGACAATAGATCATTTAATAATCTTTCAGGGACAATATGCTCTGGCATCAATGTAGCTAAAATTTCTTGAAATTTCATTTCGGATAGTGACTTGAAGAACTTGGAAATTGCCAACTCTAAACCTGGATATTCACTTGACGCCTGTGCAAGAAATTCTAATAAACTTGAGAATGTTAAAAGTTTTTGATATACGCTAGGTAATTGAGAGCCAAAAAAACTTGTGAAAAAAACTAAAGTTTGATTTGTATTCTTTGTCTTTAATAGATTAATTGAACTTGATAAATTTTCTTCTAAAATGGATTTAACTTGAGCTTTTAGATCCTGAGAGTTCTCTAAACTTAGTGAGAGTGAAACTTGTTCAAATTCGTCTAGCTTGAAATGATCAAAGAGTTCTTTTAAAGTGAATTGTTTGAGTAAGACAGAGTCAGTTCTTGAAACAATATTTGAAAATCTATCAATGTACTGTGGATTTTCAACTAAATATTTCAATTCTTTGGCAATGAGTTTTTCCACGAATTGGTTTGTAATGGTATTAGTTTCAACCAAAGTAGAACTTGTCAGTAATAATCTGGTGATATAACGATAATAAACTTCTGGAACAGATGAGTTGCAAATCTTATGAATTTGATCAAATGTACTGTCAAAGTTACTTTCGTTGATGATTGTAGCAAGCGAAGCAAGTTGAGATGATGTGATCTTAATAAGGTCTTGTGATATAATCTTTTCTTTTACCTTCGAGTTCAATAACTCCTGTCTCGAGCCCTCTTGTGGGCGATTTGATTCTTGTTGTGACAAACTAACTGAGATGCTTCGAGAAGTCTTTTGAATTTAAAGGCAGTCAGTTCAACCAACGTATAGGCGAGCAGCTCTTTTAATGGAAAGTAAACACAAAGGACGGGTCTTGTGGTTCTGTAAGTTAGTTATTCTGAAAGTACTTCCCGCTGAAGGTGTAACTCAACTCACTGTTTGTTTCCAATTGTACAAAAAGCTCAATGATTTGAAGGTGTGAACTATAATTGATGCAGCAGACACAAAATATGTTCAAAGGGTAATCGGTGGATGATGTGTTTCAATGAACTTGTTGTTTATTGGTTATTGTTGTTGTAGTTCTTGATGATTTTGCTCACGGTTTTTTTTTCCATCGAAGAATCAGGATTCAATGTTATTGAAAATTCGCGAAGCCAGCTCATGGGGGTAACACCTCATGATTTTGCTAGCTCAGTTCAATATCCAGTGTTGATTAATAGGTACAAGAGTATTTATTGAGTGGGAATGCATCTTGGATTTTTGTAAGTTGATTAATTTGCCACCAGATTTAAGTCAAGGATTGTGTTGAAGTCACATTAGCTTCCAATGGTGCTCCATAGGAAAATTGTTGACTTCCGCATTCGGGTATTAAAGCGAAACTATCTGTGCATTTACTCGAGCCCTCCCAAATTTTCCTTTCAACAAAATTAAACAAGTTTCAACAAATTCAGCTCATCACCTATTGTACACAACTTGCTCAAGATGCTATTACCACCTGATAACTTTGGATTGGTAGAGGAGGGAATTTGTAAGATGGATCGTATTCTTGTTTTATCTAGTTAATTTGTACTAATTTTGGAAAGACCGCTGTTCAAAATTAGATGCTATAAATTTTGCATTCTTGGAAACTCTTCAATTAAAATCAATAATTCTACTGGATAATGAGTCTCCAATGATGAAAAATTTCCAAAATTTCATGACTTTGAATAATATTGAGGCTATAAAATTTGAAAATCAATCAATAAACACTGAAATCAATGAAAACAACCCTGATTGGATGGTATTCAGTAAGGAGATTATCACCAAAATCTTTGAAGTGCTTTTGAACAAAAAAAACTGCAATTTGCTAATTATTGACAAAACTAATGTTATAATTGGTCTCTTGAGGAAAATCTGTAAATGGAACTATTCAAGTTTAATATCCGAATATAGATTATACAGTGGTAAAAATTCAAACTATTTTGCTGAAACATTTCTTGAATTGGCAACATTAAAATTGAAATCCAATTTTTCATTTGGACCTGCTTCTATGATAAGATCAAGGTCAAGCAGAAATAGTTCTTTAGACTACACTTATGGTTCACTTAACGAAAGGAGACTATCTGAAGATTTAGAGTTGGATGATGATGAGAATGAAGAAACCTTGCTATCTGCATCTCCCCAAGTGCCTAAGAATTTATTAAGAATGGCAGAACTTCGTAAAAAGAGGAAAAAGTCAGATGCAAAACAAAGTCTGGAAAGTTCCTTCTTGAGTTTTACTGATTACAATTTTTATTTACCGTTACAAATTTTCAAAAATATTGAGGTTATTGAAGTTGTTTTACCTATAGAAAATGATCTACCAGATTGGTTCAAATTACAGCGTGATATTTGGGAAGATGAATACCATCATAAATATTAGTCACTATTCATCTGCAATGTTTTCAACTCCTTTGTTTTCAAGAAATAAAGATAAAACCAAACAGATAATTGTAACTGGAATCCATACAATGAAAACGTTTTTCAAAGAACTTGCATATATCTTTTCCAATTCAATCAATGATTCTCCATGAAATAAAAATGAAAGATTCATTTTTTTCCCAAGACTTTTCATAACAAAATTTTTAGAATTTTCATTCAATTCCAATTTTTCCAATTTAGTAATCAAACTATTTGAAAAGATGACATAGGACATTGCAATACCCAATGAATTACCAAAATTCTTCATAACAGCCTTTGTTGATAACACAACTGATACGTCTTTTTTTGAAACTTGACTTTGAATTCCCGTGGTTAATGGAGTAAAGATAAATCCAAATCCAGTGCCCATGAATATTAATGTTATGATGCTAAATGGAAGTTTGATTTTCAATGGTGTCTTTGGTGTTGAGCAAAGCATTACTAGACTCATGAGAACAAGTGTGTACCCTAAAACTATAACATATTTGAAGCGATTCAAGGAGGAAATTATTGGCCCTGACACTGCTGATCCTAATGCTAATGGAATTAACATAGCTAATAGGATAATTGGAATATGTGAAGTGTCTATTTCATGGACACTGGTGAAATAAATTGGCAAATGATAGATCATTGAAGAATAAACTATGCTGATGAGAAAAGTTTGAAGAATAAAGTTGCAGACTTTGAAATTTGTAAATGAACTCATTGGTATCAATGCTGAACTTTTATTACCATACTCAACCAAAATTAATACCACAAATGATAAAAATGCAAAGACACAGCACAAAATAACTTTCAACCCTTTCCAATTCCAGTTTAACCCACCCATATTCAATGGTAATAGAATTAAAATCACAACGGCTGTGCTAAAGATTAAACCTGGAAAGTCAATTGATTTTAGTATTTTTTTTGGCTGAACTTGCTTGTGCTCTTTTGTCTGGGACAATGTGAGAATACTCAGAAATCCTGATAGGATGAAAACACAACCCATTAGAAAGAAATATTGTTTCCAGCCACTATGAACATGACGAATATTTGAAACAAATGCTGAGGATAAAAAGGGACCAAAACAGCTTCCAATACCTATTGATAAACCCAAAAGGCCTTGGAATGTGGCTTTCTGCTCATGTGCCACGTTATCTGATACTATTACAATAGCCAATGAAATTGTGCCACCATTTCCTAAACCTGTTAATGCCCGGAAAATATAAAATGCTGTTGAGTTCCAAGCAAATACACACATTACCTCAAATATACCAATAATGAATAAACTAATTATCATCATCAATCTCCTACCAAAGAAGTCAGCAAATCTTCCTATAATAATGTTGAATATTGTACTGGAAATCAATGCTCCTGTTCCTGCCCATTGAATAGTGTTATGTGCATCTAAATCTTCAACTATGAATGGTAGTATTATGGGTATTGCTGTTTGATCAGCCATGGCAAACATTGAAACAAAGCATGCTGTAAATGTAATGGCAACAAGTGTTGATGCTGGTAATGTTGTATTTTCAGATGTCACTAGTTGTTTTTCAACTGTTGGTGAGTGTTGTATCTTTTCATTTCCAGAAAGGTTATTGGTTTGGCCTGACATGCTGTTATGCTATCATTTCCATAGAATATATATGTCTTTTGTGTTTCGTTTTTTATGTATTCATATATCTTCTATTATAGATTGTACGTACTACGTGGAGTTTCAAATTGATTACACAAAAAGAACTTTTTTGAAAACCAGTTCAACCATGCCCATAATGGAGGCATAATATATTGATAGAATTCCTTGGGTCATTTATCTTCAAACTTTTCTGCAGTTATAAAAACAAACATATGTTGTCAAGTTCTTGTGTAGAGCTTCAGATCAAGAGCTCAAGCTTTACTACGATAAGAGAAAGTCCGATCGGTGTTTTCCCTTCTAAGGAATTACCTGTTACGGAGGGTTTTCACCCTTTTCCTGAAATTTTTGCTCCGGCTGAGTCCTCAATCGTGGCCGTGCTCATTAAATTTGAAAACCGTCAAATTTTTGCAGCCATTTTGACACTTTGATAATAGAAATTATGAACCCAATCTTTTGAGTTGGTATATTTTACAAAATATCTTTTGTGTTTCCAGTCAATCCAACGTAATATACCAGAAAGCAGATATTGTTCACCTGTGGAATTGTAATTAAGAAGTCTTGGTGATTTCGGTTTCCCAAAGACTTGTACTTATCAATAATTATGTCCCAAGCTCCAGAACTAATAACACCAACAAGTACAGCGTCAGTTGGCTCCACTCCAGCAAATGCACTGAAGAAAGCTCGTATCCGGAAAGCGTGTGACTCTTGTAATGTCAAGAGAACAAAATGTGACGGGAATCATCCTTGTGCTCATTGTATTCAAGTAAAGATTGAATGCACATACCTACGACAAGAAAAGAGAAGAGGAAGAGCCAGTGAAAAATATCCAAAAGATATCAAGAAAAGAAAATTCAAAACCAGCCCTAAGAGTGAAACAAGTGAGCATAGTTCGTCAACTAGTACCAGTGGCTTTATTGGTGTTGGTATTCCTAGTAAAAAACCTGATGCTTCTTTGATAACACATAGAAATCATTCATCAAGTAGAACAATGTTCACACCACCCCAAATATCACCAACTGATTCTGATCATTCAATTCCCAAAGATTTTGAACTAGGAGTAACAAAGTATCCAATATTGGAAACCATACGTGATGATTTGATTGTAATTGGGTTACCTTATCATGTTGCTGATGATTTATTTGAGTTTTATTTTGATGAGTTTTATCCCCCAGCTTCCAAAGTTTACTCAATATTGAGACACTGCACAATGCTTGAAAGTAAAAGAATAACACAGCCAAACTTGCTACTAGCGATTCTTTTGGCGTCCGCTGTCCAAATTGATAATAGATTCTTTGCTGGAAGTACAAGAGCATATGTTTCTAAGAAAATGTATCAATTGATTCAAGAAAAATTACCAACAAACAGCAAGTATGCTACTTTAGATGATTTTATTGTTGTGGTTCATCTAGGGTTTTTTATGCCTTGGTTATCATATCCTATTGATTCTGTTTACTGGTGGGAATTTGGTTATGAACTAGGAGTGGAATTGAAATTGCATAAGGATGATCCAAGTGATTCTGAGGAAGTTAAAGAGGAGAAAAGACGTGCTTGGTGGGGGCTGTACATCTTGGATCGTTTAACAGCCATTTGTTTCAATAAAGAGATTGTGATTCAAGACGATGAATGTTCTGGAATCTATTTACCAGGTGATGAATCTCAATGGGTCCATTTCACAGAGCCAATCACACAATCTGCGGATTTGGATCCTTCGAGAGTTAAAGGAGTCAAATTTGATAAAGTTTCTGATGGTATTTATGGTTGGTTTTTACCCTTAGGTAAGATAATGGGTGTTTTCACTCAATATAAATCGTTATGCAAAACAGGTATCGATGATAAAAGGAAGCTCAATCTGAAAGCCCAACTAATATCATTTGCAAATCAAAATTTAGATGCAATTTCTAAAAATGAACTAGAAGTTTTCACTGTTGGTTGTCCTCATAAGGAAAAATCGTATAGTTTGGACATGTGCTATGCCAAATATATTAATTTAGTTTTAGGGTTTATTCTTGAAGATATTGAAGGCTGGGAAGTTATGGGTGATATTGAGAACACTTCTTCTGAAGCACAATACCAGAGATTGGCACACTGTATTCAAGTGTTGGAGGAAATATTAAAATTAGATGAAGACTTGCACAGATATCCCTTTTTGGTTAGTTTTTTCCTTTTTTTATTGGGTGTTTCAATATTATCAATTCTGAATGATATAAGTAGTGCTGATCACACCAATATTACTAAGATTAACCGTTTCAAGTATTATGTCAAAGTGTTGGTTAGAGGGATGGAGGCTGTTATGATCACATTTCCATCAGATTTCTTGAAGATGGTTAGAAATCAATTAATTTGGAGTATTAAAGATTGCGAAAATTTGATCTTATTGACCGATTATATTGAAAAGTTCAAAGAGAATGCAGATAAAAGGAAAGAAGCTTTAAGAGCGTATAGTTGGGCAAGCGGTGGTCGTGGTATTGCCATCTGAAAGGTATCTTATGGAACACATATTGTATTAGTATCTTTATTATTTATATATTTTGAATCACACTGTAGATAATTACCAGTCTCTACAAAATGGACAAAAATTAAACAATGCTTCAAATAAATCTAATCAAAATTAATATCAGTTTCATCGGCAACATTAAGTGGGTTACCTTTCATTTGTAAGAATTTCAAAGTTGCAAATTTTGTTGAATTGTAATCTTTCCATATTAGATTATCATGACAACACCCAATATATGTTTGATCAAATTTAACTTTTTCTTCTTCAGGAACGTATGTACATTTAGTATCATCAACAAACAATCTCAAATGATCTTTAAAGTTGTAGCCTGATGGAATCTCCAAATATTCGTCCGGTATTGTTTTTGGGACATTGGCTAATTTACCTTCATATAAAGTTTTATTTAGTGGTAATAATGAAGGCAAATACCAGAAATTACCATTACCAGTAACAACATAATCTGATATTTTGTCACTATTTGATTTTAAGGCAATATCTTTTGGTACTTTTGGAGCATTTATAACACCCACCAATTCAATATATAAACCAGTATTAGTATCAATAATTCTCCCATCAACAACATCTGGTGCAGCACCACCATCATTATATCTGGCTCTCTCCAAGTACCATGGTGATATGTCAATCAAATAATTACCAGTACCATTTCTTGGATCAGAAATGACCAGTGAATAATTAAAAGAGTTTGCAATTCTTGAGATATCAGCAGCAGGCAATTCAAATCTAACAGTATCTTGCCAAGGCCCAATTAATCCATTATAGCTCCATGAGATTAAAGACTCCTCAGCCAACCAAGTGGTTATTCCCAAATTTGTACATAACTGTAGGTAATTTTCAACAACACTATGTAAAGATTTTTTTTGTTCAGATTGTTTAATTTCTTATTGAAAAATCTCCAATCATATTCCTCTTCTGATACCCAGTTACCATCTTTGGACTTGATCAAGACATTTCTGAAGTGACGATTATCATGATGTCTAGCTGCATTGGCCAGCTGACTTTTCTCTTTTGATGATTGAACACTAAAAGAAGTTTTATCAACGCTGACATGTTTTCCTTTGTCAACATTGAAATTGATTAAATCTCTTTTTAACGCTTCTGCAATACCATTCAATTCGTCATTTGGATCAACTGGAGTTCTTATTATTTGATCTTGAGAAATTCCAGTATCTTTCATTTTTCTTTGAACATACTCATCAATCATTGTATTTTCGTCTAAACCTAATTTTTTACCAACTTTTGTAACAAATGCCAATTCACCAGCTAAGAAAATCAACTTATTTGGTAAGGGAGCAGCTGTGAAAAGATATGATTTTCCTCTAATGGATAGCCTAAATTCAGTTTCTGGTTGTAAAGAAGGGTTTATGAAAACAAAACCAAGATTTTTAGGTTCATCAAGACAACTTGGCCATGGGATTCTTGTAGTTGCACCTAAAGCACCAATTCTAAAACAGTTTGGTTTTTCCTCTAATAATGGCTTCAAGATATTCAAATCAACGAAATCCTTCCAATTGAAATTGAATACTGGGGGTTGTTGATTGGAAGAACCAGATGTTGATTTCAAAACATATGTTTTGATTGTTTCCAAGTATACAGCCATTGTAGATCTAAAGTCAAGTTTTTCTTGAACATGTGCATAAGGAGCTATTGGTAACATGGACACATCAGATTCAAATGGGAATTCTTCAAATAAAGTTGGTTTCTTCAAACTTGTAAGAGCGTAAGGATCCACATATGAGTTTGCATCTTGACGGTAAGAACTATCATCATATTGGAAGTTATCAGCAGTACTGGAGCTGTCTTTTGGACTTGATTGTTTGGATAAATAAACAAATATACCAAATAGAGCACATGATAGGTATAGTAGAGGTACTGTCTTTTGGAAAGCTTTTAGAGATTTCTTCACTCTTAGCTGCCACGATAGGTTTTTGGGAACAAACTTGTGCTGGTCCTTCTGCGAGGATGGGAGATAGTTGTTATCCATCTTGAACACACCTCTAGCCGAAGTTGATGAACAGGGATCTTTGTCTCTACAAAAGAGATGTTGAAAAGGTTTTCAAATTTGTTTCCACTTCCAATGTTGATTCGCGAACACAAAACATGATCTTAGGTGAAAGTTTTCGTATTTAAGCCTACTTTAGAGTTTCCAATTAATTCTACGAGGTCTGATATGGCTTGTTATGTTCGTTTATTACTTATGTACATGTTGTTCTATTTGATCCAGATATTTGTAGTCTTCAAAACGCGTAACAGCTCCTGTGTTTTCAAAAGAAAAACAACCAAAACGCATTCTGCAAGACGACAAGTCGCTCTCTGGGTTTCGTTTACTTTGGCCATCTATGAGAAGTTAGGAGCTGAATCCTAAGCTAAAGGCACAACCAAAGAGATAATACCCATGATATAATTCATTGGAGAACCAGAAAATCGTTTGAGTTGAAGAATTTCGAAAAGAAAATTTTTCTTTTATACTAGCGAGCGGCTTGTTAAGGCCACTCTTTTCGCTCGCTGAATCGAGATAAAGAACCGGGTTTGGATGTGCGCATAACCAGTTATGACTCGACGAATTCATTGAAAAATCCTTGAAATTGTTCATCTCTTTCTTCTTCTCCTTAGTTTGGTCAATTCCAATTGAAGAAATAAAACAAAAATCATGGTCAAGTAAGTCCAATTGCAGTTTATTGCTGTGAACTCACTAACACTTTTGCAAGGAAAGTTTTATTATTAGGTTCAGGTTTTGTTGCTAAGCCAACCGTTGATATTTTAGCTAAAACTGAAGGTGTTCAAGTTACTGTTGCTTGTAGAACATTAGAAAAAGCTCAATCATTGGCTTCTGATGTTGCCACTGCCATCTCATTAGATGTTTCAAAAGAGTCAGAATTAGATGCTGCTGTGTCTGACCATGATTTGATTATTTCTTTGATCCCATATATTTATCATGCTACTGTTGTTAAATCAGCTATCAAACACAAAAAGAACGTTTTAACAACTTCATACATCTCACCAGCTTTAAAAGAATTAGAAGATCAAATCAACGAAGCTGGTATCTTGGTTTTCAATGAAATTGGTTTAGATCCAGGTCTTGACCATTTATATGCTGTTAAAACCATTGATGAAGTCCACAAAGCTGGTGGTAAAATCAAATCATTCATTTCTTACTGTGGTGGTTTAGCTGCACCAGAAGATGCCAATAACCCATTAGGTTATAAATTTAGTTGGAGTGCTAGAGGTGTCTTGTTGGCCTTAAGAAATTCAGCCACTTTCTATAAAGATGGTAAAAAAGTTGAAGTTGATGGTCCAGAATTAATGGGTTACACGGCTCCTTACAAAATCAACGAATTTACTGAAAAGGGCTTGGTTGCTTATCCAAACAGAGATTCAACTGTTTTCAGAGAATTATATGAAATTCCAGAAGCTGAAACAGTTATTCGTGGTACTTTACGTTTCGAAGGTTTCCCTGAATTCATTAAGGTTTTGGTTGACTTGGGTTTATTGAAGGATGATGAAAATGAAATTTTCACTCAAAAATTATCATGGAAAGATGCTTTAGCTAAATATTTAGGAGCTGAATCTTCAAAAGAAGAAGATTTAATTAAATCTATTGAATCTAAAACCAAGTTTGCAGATGAAGACGCCAAAAAGAAAATCATCGATGGTTTCAACTGGTTTGGCTTATTATCAGATGAAGAAATTGATCCAAAGGGTAATCCTTTAGATACCTTGTGTTCTCGTTTTGAAAAATTATTACAATTCGAAAAAGGTGAAAGAGATTTAGTTATCTTACAACATAAATTTGGTATCGAGAACAAAGATGGCTCTGAAGAAACACGTACTTCAACTTTGGTTGATTATGGTGCTCCAACTGGTTCTGGTTACAGTTCAATGGCTAAGTTAGTTGGTACTCCAGCTGCTGTTGCTTCTCAATTGATCTTGAGTGGCAAATTACCAGTTCAAAAAGGTTTAATTGCACCATATTCTCCAGAAATCAACGATCCAATCATTAAAATCTTAAAAGATGAATACAAGATTGAATTGACCGAAAAAACTTTATAGATTAAAGGAATATAAAAGATCACAGCTTTTTATTGTTGTTGTAATGACACGCGAATATTTGACAGATATGTTTTCAAAGAAGAAAAAAAAAAGATGAAAGATATGAAAATGTAAACATAGAGTGTATAAACATCATCATCATCATCATGAAAACAGCTATCAGTCGTTCTTTTTTCAAAAGATCTTTTTCTTCTTTGAAATTGTCTGAAGAATTGAAGTGGGCTCTTCAAGAGAAAAAGCCCATCGTTTCTCTTGAATCTACAATCATTACCCATGGTTTACCTTATCCACAAAACCTTCAAATGGCTAAAAGAGTGGAACAAGAGATAAGAACTCACGGAGCCATCCCAGCAACTACTGCATTTATAAATGGTGTTCCTAAAGTGGGATTGACTGATTTTGAATTGGAAATGCTGGCTAATTCGTCAAATGCAACCAAAGTTTCAAGAAGAGATATACCATACGTTATGAGTCAAAGGTTGAATGGAGGTACCACAATTAGTGGTACAATGATCCTATCAAATAGAGCAGGTATAAAAGTTTTTGCAACTGGTGGTCTTGGAGGTGTCCATAGAGATGGTGAAAATACAATGGATATCAGTGCAGATCTTGATGAATTAGGTAAAACTCCAGTAGCTGTTGTTTGTGCAGGACCAAAGTCAATATTGGATATCGAAAGAACAATGGAATATTTGGAGACAAAGGGTGTATTTGTTGGGACATATGGACCAGAGGGGACAAACGTTCCTGGGTTTTACACTAGAGATTCTGGGGTTGCATCTGTTTATAATTTTCAAGATTTCCAAATGGCTGCTAATATAATAAAACAAGGAGAATCCTTACAACTAAATTCAGGATTATTATTTTGCATACCACCTCCAAAAGAAATTGCAATGGATGGTGAATTTATTAATAAGATTATAGATCAAGCTAATTATGATGCAGTTAAATTGGGAATAAAAGGTAAAAAAATTACACCATTCATGTTAAGCAGAATTGCAGAAGCTACCAAGGGTGAAAGTGTTAAAACAAACATCGAATTTGTTTTGAACAATGCTAGAGCCGCAACTAATATTGCTATTGAGTACTCAAAATTAAATGGGGGAAATGTTGACAGTCTAAATCCATATGAAACAAAACCTTCGACGACAGCACAATCAATGGTAATTGGTTCAGTTGCATTGGATACTTCATGCTTATCAAACTCTGAGTCAATTATGCTGAATGATTCGAACCCATCCACAATAAAATCTTCAATCGGTGGTGTCGGTTTTAATGTTGCAATGGAGTCCATAAAATCTGGTAATGATAGTTTAAAATTTGTATCAAGTGTTGGTGATGATGCTCAAGGAGACAAAATTCTGAAAAGTATTGATATGAATCATGCAATTGAGGTTCAACATAATAGTTCAACATCTCAATATATTTCCTTTCATGATGGTAAAGGTGATCTAGTTGTCGCGGCTGCAGATATGGGTATTATCGAAACCATCAGTAATGATCATATTGAAAAGCAATTGAAAGATACAAAACCAGTAGTTTTATTAATGGATGCAAATATTTCATCATCATCTATGCAAAAAATTATGAATCTCAGTCAAGACCACAGTTTTAAAGTTATCTTTGAACCAACATCTTCTCCAAAGGCAAAGAGATTGAGTGAAGTTGAATTGAAACCATTTCCAGAGTGTTCAATCCTATTGAGCACACCAACGTTTGCTGAGCTGAGGTCAATATATGATTCTTTTGAGGAATCAGGTAAATTTGAACTTGACAATTGGTTTCCTATAATAGATGCATTAGGTGTTGATAAAACATTAAAGCACAAAGTGGAGTCTGCGTCTATGAGAAATCCATTTTATAAAAGTATCATCAAGGATGGAATTTTACAAACAGGGGTCAGCTTATTACCTTTTATAAAACATTTGGTTATTAAAGATGGTGCAAATGGAGTTTTCCATCTTTCAATTCATGAGGATATTCAGCAAATAACCCCAAATCCAGCTGCCGATTTGTCACTTTCCAGTAAGGGCCAAAACAATTTGGGTGTTCTTTTGGAGCATTATAGTGTTCCATCGGTGCTTGATAATTTGAGTAATGTGACTGGTGCTGGTGATGCTCTTGCCGGATCCTTATTGTCTGCGCTGTCGGTGAATTCAGATGTTCTTTCAAGTGACAAAAGACACATTGTTATTGAAGAAGCACAGGAAGCAGCAGCCCGTAAACTGCGTTCTCATGCTTAACGAAAGAGGTAGTTGTTAGCCTGTCAAATTCCAATTTCCCACGCAATTCTCGTCTCTGATCTGTAGATAAGGCTGTCTTCTTTTTGACGTGTTCCTAATTGGGAAAGCGCGTTTACAACTTTTTTTTTTTTTTTTTTTTTTTTTGGCGCTCGAAGGAGGAGCTTCGTCAACGATAAAGACGATTAATCTACTTGATCCAAAAGCGTACTAATGACGCCGTCCACATTGTGCTTTTATATATAAATACAATCAAGAAGTCATGTTTTCCAATTTACTAGCTTGTGACTTAACAATCAACGATGTCAAACTCAAAGGGTCATGAGATCCCAGACAACTCTCTATCCGCCATGGTCTCTGAAGCCCTCAGTCATGGCACCAAAGCAGATGTTCAAAATGTTGATGATTTGCTGAAACTAGCTGACATGGGGTATAAACAAGAGTTGAAGAGATCATTCTCAACTTTGCAAGTGTTTGGTATTTCATTTTCTATCATGGGGTTGCTACCATCTATAGCTACCGTACTGGGAACTGGTATAACAGGGGGGCCTGTTAGTTTGATTTGGGGTTGGTTGTTAGGTGGTATATTCATCATGACAATTGGTATTGGTATGTCAGAGCTTGCATCTTCATACCCAACATCTGGTGGTTTATATTTCTGGACTTTTCATTATGCACCAATGAAATATAAAGTTGCATTATCATTCTTCATTGGTATCACCAATTCTTTAGCACTAACAGCTGCTTTATGCTCAATCACTTATGGATTAGCAGAAAATATACTGGCATGTGTTGCAGTTGCAGTTGGTGATTCGTTTACAATAACTAATGGAATTACGTATGGTGTATTTGCAGCTTGTGTCATCTTGCAAACAGGTGTTACTTGCTTGGCTTCATCTGCTGTTTCAAGATTGCAAAGTTTATCCATTTATGTTAATGTTTTTTTGGTTATTTTGTTTTTGATTGTCCTTCCAATTGGAACTCATAATACTCGTGGTGAATTTAATGATGCAAAATATATATTTGGAGATTTTGAAAATTTTAGTGATTGGAGTAATGGTTGGACTTTTTTCCAATATGGTTTTGGATCTGTTGTTTGGACTGTCGGTGCATTTGATTCAGCTGTTCACATGTGTGAAGAGGCCACTGATCCAACAAAAGCTGTTCCAATAGGTATCTGTATGTCAATAGGTGTTTGTGTGGTTATTGGATTTATAATCAACATTGTAATTGCAGCGTGTATGATTCCAGATATTGATGCTATTTTGAATAGTTCCACAGGCCAACCATTGGCTCAAATTTTTTTAGATCTTTTGGGTAAAAGATGGACCATTGCATTCATGTCTTTGATTGCAGTTGGTCAATTTTTGATGGGAGCGAGTACTTTAACAGCGATTTCAAGGCAAGTTTGGGCTTTTGCTCGTGATGATGGATTACCATTCTCTGGATTTATTAAAGTTGTTAATAAGAGATTACAAGTTCCAATTAGATCAATTATTTTCAGTTCTATTGTTGCATTAATACTTGGTTTATTATGTCTTATTGGTACTACAGCTGCCAATGCATTATTTTCTTTATCAATCATGGGTAACTATATGAGCTGGGTTGCGCCTCAGATATTAAGATTTTGCTGTCCAAAATCTGCAAATTTTGAACCAGGGAAATTTTATTTAGGGAAAATTTGGTCACCAATAGTAAACTGGATTTCTATCATCTTCCAATTGTTTATTATTGTAATGGTTTGTTTGCCAGATAACAAGGCAGTTGATCCAAATACAATGAATTACACAATTGTTGTCAATGGAGGTACTTGGATTTTATCAATGGCCTATTTTTACCTTTACAAGCATAAAACATACAGTGGACCAAAATCTAACTTGGATGATGATGATGTATTGACAGGAACTGAAGTTGAACTGAGCAATGTTACTGATGCAAAGATGCTGAGCTCAAAAGGTCAATCTGGATAGTGGCTTTGCTCCATGGCAATAGATGATTTTTTACCTAGTTTTTTGAAATGATTTTAAAGAGGCGTAGAATAATGCTTTGACTAAGGTTACAACTTACTTTCTTAAAAGGGTTCGTAGTCGATAAAGTTTAGTTTCTCGAATCTCGGGGTACTAGCTATTGTGCGTCAGACGTTGTGCAGCGCAACATTTTGAATATTGTTGTTTTAGATTGCTCTATTGCTACTAAACATTGCTAAGTCTGTAGACCAAAACAAAAAACTATATAAAGGGAGCAAAATGTTTCCAATAATTCAAAGAACTAATTACAATTCTATAACAATTATTCAATAATCACAACCAACAAAACTAAACACAATGTCTGACACTGGAAGAAAAGATTTCACCGATAAAGCTGCTGAAGCTATCAAACCTGATGATCAAAAATCATATTTAGAACAAGCTAAAGAAGCTATAACTGGTAAAGTTGATGACTTCCAAAACAAAGCCCAACCAAATGATGCTAAATCTGCTACCCAAAAGGCCAATGATTTTTTCCAAGGTGGTGCTAACGACAGCAAATAAGTTTAATGCTACAATGAAGGACGTATAATTGATTAATACAATATGGTACATTCAAAGTTCTAATTAAGTAGTCATACTTTCAATTTCTTCTACGTAACTTGCCCAACTGGAGTGTTTCCAAATACAAGGTTTCAAGTAATTTGTGACATACAACATGTGATACTTTAACAATTCGAAACGGTCTGTAGTCACTATTTCACAGTTTTTGCCTTCCAAGACTAAATCCAGGTAATTTAGTGATTTTTCATGATGATTCAACACATCGCTAAGTATAGTCACGTCCTTCCACAGTTTCAAATCAGGTAGCATTCCAAATTCATACACCCAACACACGACGATGCTTATATATATGGAAAATACAGCTTGTGGTACTGCATCAATCAGCTCTTTGTTATCTACCATTGTCCTCAGTAGTCGACACGCCTGAATTAATGAATGTTCCCCGTCTTTTGACTTTGACCATGAAATTGCAGCTTCTATTGTAAAAGAATTTGTTGATCCCAACTTTAGTTCTTTGAACAAGCCAATTAATAGGTCAATTTTGCAATAAAGTCCCAATAACCCAACATTGAACATAGTAATATTTGCCCAAAATGCCGGTGAAATTTCATAATTATTTAATGAAGCACTGCATGATGAAGATGTAGTGGACGCGTTAGCCTCCTTGATATTGTGATGCAAGTAAAGTCTCCAGCTGTAGAATGATTGTTCAATCTTTGCAGCAAAAAACTGCGATTTACCTAAAACTTCCTGACCAAAAGAATGAACATTTCTTAATTCTTTGACTAGAGACAAGACACCATGTAGGAAGATAAATCTTGAAAACTGAGAAAAGCAATCCACATGGTATTCTTTTTGATTGTTTGAATAAGGCTGCATTAATCTTCTCAAACTCCATAAAAAATTAGGCCAGGATCCCTCTTGGGTGACTTCAGGAATTATGTTCAACTTGTTTTGTTCATTTTGGTCATACCTTGTTTGAACATTCTCAAAATTGGATAATGAATTAGACCTAGCATTGAGCTCTTTTGGTTGTTTTGAATACTCATTTTTAAAACCCTCTGTGTCAATAGCGTACCAAGTAGAGTCCGTGCAAGGTAAATTGATTTTCACATCAAACACTGATAAACAAGGGTTCGTACCTAGGAAAAAATATCTTTGGATATCTAACAAATATTTAAAAAATGCAACTCTTTTCCAACTTTCATAACTGATCCAGTCTTGGTATGTTTCATATGTTGTTTCTTTTGACTCTAATGGGTCACCTTTTTCAGAATACAATCCAATTTCCTTGATTAGATTGATGATTAAAGGATGATAAATTTGAAACTCGAAAAGATTCTTATTGGTACCTGAATATAGACTGAAATAATCTGTTAAAGATAGCGCTTGCAATAACGCTAATGGTGCATTTCTCATTTCTTTGATTTTTTGAAGTTCCAAAATTAATTGAGACCTGACTTTTGATTGTAATTCATTTGCAACGAGATGAAATTCGGGTTCTTGCTTTGCAAAACTAGATCCTATAACAACAATCATTATCAAAAGCAAAAGATTTAAAACTGTTGGATTTGGATTTGAATAACAAACATCGAAAGTGGGCCTATGAATTATTGGATACATTGTGTCAAAACAGTGCCAAAACAGATCCAAAAACTCATCTGTATGTGTAAAGAATGATTGGAAGTCAGCTTCAATGTTTAGGGTTTTCAACAACTCTAGCAACTTTGATATTGTGTTTGAGGAGACATACGAGACCAACTTCGCTGATTTGCTATTATCGGCTTCAGCTGAATAAGAGTAATCTTGAAGAATGCTTTCAAAATTTGGAGATATCACCGGTGAGTTTTGGCCAAAAATCCAATTCATAGATTCTTCAAATCCGCTAGTGGTGAAATTTGTGAACTTGTCATCCAACTCACCAGCAGACGAGCTTTCCATTTGCTGTTGCGTACCATTTTCAAAACAATTAATGAAAATAGATCTTCCTTCTGACTTGAAATGTTTATTCCTATGAGATTTTGACCTTGTGTGCTTATCTAGCAAGTCCTTTCTAGTGAATGAACATTTGCAAATTGTGCAATTAAACGGACGGATGTTTGAATGAGTTGATGAGTGTCTTTGTAAGTAGTCCTTCCTTTTGAAAGACTTAGCACATCCTGGAAAGTTGCAGAGATGCTTCATGTCACTGTCCATAGAGAATGTAAGTTGTTTAGATTGCGCGAAAAATCTACAAAAAAAAAAGCCAGAATTAGTAGGTTGCATTTAATCTTCTATCGAGATAATCTCCAGCTGTGATAGGCTCGTATTTCTTTGGATTCTCCTCTGAAAAAGTGCCAGGGAGAGCATCAATTACACGGTTCTTATCTGCAGAGACAAAGTAAGGAATCGAAAAGCGTTCTTTGGAAACTCCTGTTGAGGAGTCAACAGGAGGAGCAGTAACTCTATGAAGAGTGGATTTTAGCACATCATTTGACCATCTCATCAAAAAGTCTCCTGTATTAACAACCAAAGATCCTGGAACATAAGGTGCAGGTGAAAAGACTCCAGGGTTTTTGGGATCTTCCACTTGTAATCCACCACATTCGTCTTGTAACAGTATTGTCAATGTTCCAAAATCAGTATGAGCAGCTATTCTTTCAGATTTACCACTCTTCAAAGATAATTCATCAGTTGAAGGATAGTGCAAAAGTCTTAGTTGGTTGTCAGAAGCTGTATGGAAAGAGACCAAATACTCTTCTTCCAAACCTAACCCTAAAGATATTGCCCTAAGAATTTTTTTACTAGTTTCATCACAAACTTTGAAGTAGTATAAGCAGTATTCTTTAAACCCAGGAATATCATCATCTTTTGGCCAAATATTAGGATAATATGAATTATTCGGGTTCCCGAGATCAAATGACTCCTTCACATCTGGGACTTTTCTGAGTTCCTCGATTTTTGCTTCATCGAAAACCATTTGAACAACTTTTTCTTTACCAATTGAAGACCAACCACGATGATGTGCACCATTTATAGGGTGTGGACATTTTTGTTTCTGTGTGATATCCATTTTGAAAAATTTCTTGCTCCATTCAAAGAGACGCTTTTGATCATTTATTTCGATCCCATGATTGATGATGTACATGAAACCAACATCCCTCATCACTTGAACCATCTTCAGACCAGTTTCTGTTTTTCCTGTACCATCAAGAAATGGCTGGAAATCGATGATTGGAACTGCAGAATCAAACATAGTTGTGAGTGAGTGTATCACATCTTCATATCGATATACAGGCTTCAGAATTTGTCATGTTTTTATATCTTTTGAACAATGTATCTTTATCTTTCTCCACCAAAACATTCCATATCAGGATATTCCTCCGAAGATCAACAAAAAAAAAGCTTTTCTGATACAAAGATAAATACCATACAATCGAACCAAACCCTCAAACCATGTATAATGAGTATACAAATACTAAAACAAAATGACTGGGAAAACTTTACTGATTGGGGTTGATGTTGGTGGAACAAATACTGACTCTGTATTGATTGACCCTCAACAATTGGGGAAAACAACAGAAGGCATTTTGTCCTGGAATAAAGCAGTAACAACAGCCAATGTCTCTGAAGGTATTTACAAAGGGATATCCAAGCTATTATCTGAAACCAATGTTAACAGATCAAATATCGCTTCAGTTACTATAGGTACAACTCATTTCATCAATGCAATTATTGAAAAAGATAGCTCTAGGTTAGCTAAAGTTGCAATCTTGAGATTATGTGGGCCATATTCCAAAAAAATTCCACCTTTTTCTGACTTCCCGTTGGGTTTAAGAAATATTTTAGAAGGATACGTTGGATTTCTTAAAGGAGGATACCATGTTGATGGCAATGAGATACAACCTTTGGATGAAGATGAAATTATCAAGCATGCTCACGAAATAACTTCAAGAGGTATTAAAGCTATTGTTGTAACTGGTGTTTTCTCTCCCTTAAAAGATACGCAAGAGCTTAAGGTTAAAGAAATCTTGGAAAACTATATACCAGGGGCAAAAGTTGTGTTGTCACATACAGTCTCTGGGATTGGATTTATTGAAAGAGAAAATGCATCTATTTTGAATGCTTCAATTATTTCATTTGCTGAAAAAATCATTCATTCTTTCATGACTGCTGTCTTTAAGCTAGGCTTAAATTGCCCAATACTTTTAACTCAAAATGATGGCACCGTTTTACCTGCTAATGAAGCATTGAATTTACCCATCAAAACTTTTTCCTCAGGTACTACAAATTCCATGCGTGGTGCTTCTTTTTTAAGTAATGTTCATGGTAAATCTGCTATAGTTATTGATGTTGGTGGGACTTCAGCTGATGTTGGTCTGTTATTGCCAAGTGGATTCCCGAGACAGTCTTCTTCCTATTGTGATGTTGGAGGTGTCAAAATGAATTTTTCCATGCCTCATGTTGAAAGTATTGGTCTAGGTGGTGGTTCTATTGTTAGATTGTTTGGTGATAAAGTTACTATCGGACCTGACTCTGTTGGGTCGGATCTTTTAAAGAGAGCAAAAGTTTGTGGTGGTGACACTTTAACAGCTACAGACGTTGCAATATCACAAGATGACCTGAATGCCCCTAAAATTGGTGATCCAACAAATTTGACCTCAGTTTATTTAACTACAAAAAATATGTTCAATTCTGAAGTTAAATCAATGCTCGAGAAGATAGTTGACAAAATAAAAACAAATCCTGAAGATATTCCCGTTTTAGCTGTTGGTGGTGGATCTTTTATTGTTCCAGAAAATTTGAAAGGTGCTTCTGCGGTTATTAGACCATCATATTACAATGTTGCGAATGCTATTGGTGCTGCAATGGGCAAAGTTTCATCCGAAGTACATAGCATTAAGTACTTACCCCCAACCGATGGCATCTCAAAAGAGAACTATTTGGATCAATTGAAAATCCAAGCAATTGAGAAAGCTATCTCCAAAGGTGCTTTAAGGTCAAGTATTAAAATTGTGTTTGAATCATACGACCCCATCCCTTATGTTGATAATACTTTTGAGTTTTTCATCAAAACTATTGCTGAGGTTGATTACTCAAAATTGAAAACTTCAGAAGGTGCATCTTACTCATTACATTATGATGAAAAAGATCTATCAACTATGAAAAACAGTCAAGCTGATTATACGGATGTTGATATTGATTACATGAATTATATCCCTGAAATTAATTCCAAAAGAGAATGGATACTTTCTGAGACTGATTTGGAGTTTTTAAGAATTGGTACCTATATTTTGGGGTGTGGTGGTGGTGGTAATCCATATTCTCGATTTCTTGAAACTAGAAACTTATTAAGAGATGGTCATGTTGTTAAAATTATTGATATTAACGATATAAGAAAATATACCAAAGGTGAAGGAGCAATTGTTGCTGGTGGTTCAGCAGGCTCCCCTACTGTCTCTAATGAGCAACTCTCGGGTGACGAAATGGTTACAAGCTATGAGTTTATGACAAAGTTCATAGGTAAGAATCCTGAATTGGTATTTCCCTTTGAAATAGGAGGTGGTAATGGTCTTGCTGTTTTCCCAATTTCAAGTTCAGCTAAACTTTCAATTCCCGTTGTTGATTGTGACTTGATGGGCAGAGCATATCCAACACATTGTCAAACTTTACAAACTGTTTATTCTGATGATAACTCTGTTTTTGTTCCAACTGTGTTTAGTAATGGTAATGGTAACACAATGATTATTGCTGATTCGAAAAGTGACTTTTTATTAGAAAAAGTCATGAGAGCTTCACTTTCAGAAATTGGTGCCACCGTTGATGTTATTAACCCACCAATGACAGCAGATGAGGTTGATTTGAAGACTGTCCATGGCTCGTTGTCTCTGGCTTGGAGAATTGGGAGAGCTGTGAGGATTGGGAGACAAAAATCAGAAACTTCTAGAATGCCTGAAATTATCTTAAAATCTTTTGGTGATACAGGATCTCTGCTATTTACAGGTAAGATTGTTGGAGTTGAAAGAAAACTTTTCAAAGGTCATGTATGGGGTGAACTTATTTTACAAGGAGATGAGGACTTTGAAGGGGACAGGATGATTATTCCATTTAAAAATGAAAATATTTATGCAAAGGTGATCAAAAATAATGATGAAAAGATTGTTTGCTCAGTTCCTGATTTAATCTCTGTTATTGATTCGAATTCAGGGGAAGCTGTGGGTACACCAGATTACAGATATGGGTTGTTTGTTTTTGTTTTGGGAATTGCACCCAGTAATAAATGGACTGATACGCCAAAAGGTTTGGACATTGGTGGACCAAAAGCTTTTGGTTTATCTGAAGTTGAATACAATCCAATTGGAGTATACTCGAAGCCTATTTCGGTTGTTGAAGAGTTTTCAAGGGTTTAATCTACAGTATTGTTATTAAATTGTTTTTTTCTGCTGTAGTATATACAACTATAATGAAGCTGCTTCTACAATATCGAATAATAAACAAAATTTGTATATTTGATTATGGCTTCTTTCCAGGGCATTCAAGATCACTGTAATACCAATAATCAACAAATGGTCCAAAATCTGAGTATCTCTTTGAATATCCAAGGCTTGAAATGACGTTTTGATCATCTTCTGAGAGTTTCAAAAACTGGCCCTCATAATTTTCTAAAATTCTTTTGAATGTAACAGTTTTTGGAATAATTGAAGTACCACGTTTGATTGCCCAAGACACCAAAAGTTGGGATGCAGGTTTTCCCAACCTTTTTGAAATTTCTAAAACTGATGGGTGTGACAAAATTTTTGGTTCATTATCTAGTTGGTAGGAGGTATTTTGGTTACCAAAAGCAGAATAGGCTGTTACATGAATATCATTTTTCTTGTGAAAGTCTAAGAACTCTGATTGTTTTAGATAAGGATGCATTTCCATCTGGTGAACCTGGGGTTTAATTGCACAGCTTTCCAATAGCTTTTGAGTCTCTGATAATGAAAAATTTGAGATCCCAATGGCCCTAACCTTACCACTCTCGAGCAAACCTTCCATAGCTTTCCATGTATCAACAAAATCTATATCAGCTTTAACGTATTGATCTTTTAAAAACATTTCCTTATCATTTGCACATGGGTAATGCATGAGATATAGGTCGATGTAGTCCAAACCAAGCTTGTTTAAACTTTCATCGAGAGCAATTTCAACATCTACCGGATCATGATGAGAATTCCATAATTTGGTGGTAATAAAGAGTTCAGCTCTTGAAATCCCACTTCTTTTAATACCTTCACCAACTTCATGCTCATTCCCATAGATAGCTGCTGTATCAATCAACCTATAGTTATTCTTCAAAGCAAATTCCACAGCATTACAAACCTCATTGGGCTTTGACTGCCATGTTCCCAATCCAAAAACCGGCATAACAACACCATTGTTCAAGATAGCAGTTGGTAGATTTTCTTGCATTCTATTTGATAGTCATATTGAGTAGGAAAAGCATCTTTAAGGACAAGTCTATCAGTTTAAGTATAATACACTGTTATGTTTTCGTTTCTTATCGCGGAAAATTTTGGTGGGCGCGATGGTGGAGGAGACCAAAAAAAAAACCTCCACCAAACTTTGACGAATCGAGAAAACATAATGTAAAACAGATGATAAGATACATAAACTATTAAATTGCACATAAATATCGTTGAAAGAAATCAATGGGTTTGAATATGAGAGCACAACAATACAAGACTCATAATGACGCTAGATATCAGGAAACTGAGAATAAGGGAGGGGCTCAAAAAGAGATTAGAAGTACCAACAGACCAGGATGCTGAGTACTCAAATGATTCGTTAACCAATAGAGATATCATCCCAATCCCACCAGAGAGAAGGACTTGGAAGCCTTTTGCTTATGCACAATACTGGATTGTTGAAGGAATATCAATTACAGGTTACACACAAGCAAGTTCTTTAATTGGTATAGGACTATCACCAAAACAGAGCATTTTATGTGCATTGGCTGCTGGTATAATATATGGGTTTTTTGCTGCTCTTATGGGGTATATTGGTGGGAAGAGTCATATTGGGTTCCCCGTTCTCGCAAGAATGGTTTATGGTATCAAAGGCTCAGTGTTTGGAATCGTAATCAGAATTATCACTGGTAAGTTTTCATTTATATCATCAGGAATTTCAATCAATCTAACATATTCATTTAGGCTTGATATGGCTTGGTGTTCAAGCGATGTACGGTGGTCGTGCTGTCTCATATATGCTAGCAACATTTAGTCCTTCATTTGCTAAATGGGATTCTTTCAACAATGCAAATGGTATAACATCGAACATTTTTGTTGGTCTTGTTCTATACTATATCTTTTTGATCCCATGTGTCTATATACCACCTGAGAAGATACATCTTTTTTTCAGAATTGCAACTATTCTAATTCTTGGTACTTTTTTCGGTATGCTTGGTTATTCTGTGAAAACAGCTGGAGGAGTAGGAACTATGTTTCATGATCCACCTCAAACATTCAAGACAAGAGGTGAACTAGGATGGGCATGTGTTAAAGGAATATTCTCTATTGTTGGCTCAGCGGGTACAGGTATACTAGGACAATCTGATTTTACAAGGTATTCTAGCACAAAAAGAGGTCCAATTCTTCCTCAGATTTTAGGTGCGCCTATTGCTTTGACATTCAGTTGTGTTATTGGTGTTATCACAACCTCAGCTTCAAGTCAATTCTTGGGAGAAGTTGAATGGAACCCCACTGTTTTGTTGAACAAGATCCAACAATATGAGGGCAATAGTTCCAAGGCTAGAGCTGTGATTTTTTTTGGCTGCTTTTCCTTCACGTTGCAGCAAATGGCAATCAACTTGATGTTAAATTGTCTCTCGTCCTCTATGGATATGGTTGGCTTGTGTCCTAGGTATATTAATATTAGAAGAGGATCTATTTTAATTATGGCTGTTTCAATTTTAATTTGGCCTTGGAAAATATTAACTTCTGCTAAAGCTGTTGTTGTTTTCGGTTCAGGATGGGGAGTCTTTTGCAGTGCTCAAACTGGTAGCTTTATTGTCAAGTACTTTATAGTTTACAAGAGGAAGTTGCTGTTGAAAGATTTGTACATCAAGTCCAACGAATCAATTTATTGGTTCTACAATGGTGTTGACTGGAGGGCAATAGCTTCCTTTTTGGTGGGAACTGTATTTCTAATACCAGGGCTGGTTTGGGATACCTTGGATAAATCAAATGGATTCTGGACCTGGATATACAAGGTCTCTTATGCTTCAGGTATCCTTATTTCTATGGCTTCACAGCTATTACTTGAATTAGTATTTCCTAAGAAGACAATTCAACCAACTACTAAGGATGATGATATATATAATGAAGACGGATCTAGAGTAAGTTGTGTCATTGATGGTCAGTCGTTGAAAGATTTCGAGCTAGTGGTTAATGTTGATAATAAAGTGCTGGATGCCCATGGTAAATATGCGTAATCGGAAGATGTAATCGGTGTTTATTTTTATGTTTAGTAGTTTTTCATTGTACCTGTATTTCTGAATCTACTGTGCAAGGGAATGCTTTGATAACGGAACTCTCGAAAGCACACTTTGTATGAGTCAATGTTTGATTCTTTTTTTAACGAATTGTCAAAATGAACTATATCGGAATTTCAATTAGCAAGAAGTTATGTCTCAAGCACAATGAAATCATGAAACAAAAAGCAATCAGCTTATTTGGCCTCACTAGGATGATATGATCTTTAACTTGGGTTAAACTACTTGTGGTTCTGGAAATATTGTAAAATACTTATAATGGTTGAAATATAGAAAATGGTAAATAGAACTCTCCAACGTGATCTGATTATAAAACTTTCTTTTGGATCTACTGGGGAAGTCCCGGTTGTAATTAGAATGGAAACTTTGAAGTCGATATCAATTCGAATTCTTGGACTATATGTATTTTTGTTTACTATGGGGGCCCAAAAATTTTGTTCAACTAAGCAAATGAATTTTTATTTTGAGCTTGTATTGTTTTGAAACTAAATATGTATTATCTCTCAAGCGCACTGATTAATGTGGCTATAATCGTTTTTCATAGAACTATTTATTTACTTGAGATATTTGTAATTAAAGTTGGTCAATATAGTGAAAAATCAAATTCTTCAAAACAAGCCCGAATCTTATATAAATTTGCAAGTAGATACTCTAGGGAATTCTGATGATACTATAGGTGTTTATATTTAATCTGTAGTAGCAGATTATGGGGTTATTCGATGATGAAATATCTTATCAGGTGACAGATCACGTGAGGGATCACATGATCGACTTAGTCACATATCTAGCAATATTTCAAGATTGAGAAGGTTTTAGGATGTCAGAGCTTGGTACAAGTAATAATTGGCTTGGGAGATTATACAACAGATCTTATTTCTTGAAAATAGTGTGATTTGAAATTTTAAAATTTTGTTGTTTTATAAATTTTAGATTTTATTTTAATAAACTCTGGGTATCATAAATTATGTTAGAACTAAGTCTTCAAAATGTTATATGAAGCTGAATTATACTTCTGGCTGATAATGTATTGATTTTAACAATTAATAATAGTTGAATACACTGGTAAAGAGTTTGTATTTAACTTTTTCTATTGTTATGTTAGGTGGTATCGAAAAAGTTAGTTTTAGGGATAAATTGTTCATCTGTCAACAGGAGTAAATGCTAGCGAGCAATTAGCTCATGGTGTGAATAAACAATTGCGAAGGAGACATCTTACTTAGAAGTATTGTGGTTAAAGTATTAGAAAATGAAGTATATTGAGTGCTATTATTGACAAATAGATGAAGCTGCGTCAAAGCAAATTCAATGCTGTAATAGTCTAGGGCTTGAGGTATCAAATTGAATGCTAACTTTCAATTAGTGGGATTAACAAACAATTATTCAAAAGTATTCTGTAATGGAAAAAGGAAACACAAAAAGTTGAAGCAATTGGATAAAGCTGTAAGTAAATCGTTAATAATTCAAATCACGTTAAAGATGGTTAGATGATTGGCATATAGGGCGGTGAGCGCTGTGACTGAAGGGGAATAAATGGTTTGAGCACTGACAGAGACACTATAGGAAGTGATAAGCACTTGCAGTCGTTTAGGTTCTCAATTAGGACAGCTCTCAACTATGGGACACTAGTCTCGCTGCTTAGGTTATCTGTGTTACAATCGTCAAGAGATTGTCTCAACAAGGTTACGGACAGCAGATCACAGGTTAAGGTGACTGTTCAGATTATCTGAAGACTGGTACTGTATTGTATAACGAACGTCTCACTGAATTCACAAAAGTAGCTAAGGGTGGTGACTAGTTCAGGGGATATATATGTCTCAACGGGTATGAGATATGATAGGTATATGGTTAATTGAGAATTTTCAATAGTCAGTATATAGGAAGCATCTGAATTGGGTTCATGTCATAGCGTTGAAGAAGTTAAGTTATTGAAGAAGAATTGTAATCTTCAGAGAACATAGAGTATGTGCAAGGGCAGGCTGTGATGACTGAAGTTGGAGTAAGTGTAACAATTGATAACTTGGCGCTGAAGCACTGATCAATAACTTTGATAATAGAACAAGGAGCAGACTTAACTAATTGCAAAGGCATCATTAAAGTAAAGATTGTAATGTTTAAAAATGGTTGAATGCTAGGAGGATAACTTCTACATAAAAAAATCAAACACAAAATTAACAAAATGTTGAAATACAAAATTGTTCAAAAGTACGATTATAGTAAAGCTTTTTATACTCAAAGATGTGTTGGGCCTGCGCAGCAGGGCCAACTTTAACGCTTTGTACTAGGTGTTTGTCGAATTGTGTAGAGTGTTTGCCGATTTGTGTCGGATGTTTGCTCCTGGTGTTGTTGTTTTTTCACTAGGTACAACTGTGTTTGTAAGGTCTGGTACTCGTGTTATTTTTTGAGGTATTCGTGTTTTATTCTGGCGTGTGAGTGTTCTAAAAATCACAGTCTCTTGGTACTCGACTAGCTAGGTCTTACTGGGTATTGGGATTGCTTATTTGAGTGCTCGACTATGTCACGTTAGTGTTCGAGTTCGTTACATGCGCGTCTGTAGTGCTTGGTGTTATCAATTATCAAGTACTCGGTGCTATACCTCATGGTGCTTGAAGGTTTCTGTTGGAATTATCTATGGTGCTTGACTTGTAATTGTATTCGGTGTCGCCTTTTAGTTAGGACTCGGTGCTCGACTATTTTAGTAAGGGGTTTGCCTTGAGGTATTGGTCTACCACTCCCGGCTTTATCTAAGTTAGTGGTGTTTGCCTTTTGGTGATAGTGTCCAATTGTTCTATCTTTAATAGTGTTCCATTTTGACCAAAGGTCCTTGCTTTGGTGATGTTTGAAGATTCAGTGATCGTGCTTGCAGTTTTCTCAAACACCCGCTAACTTTGGCAGTCGATCAGTTTGATTCAAATTCAATTAAATTACAATGATTTTAAATACAATGTTAATTGGAAAAGTGGTTTACCCATAGATACTCTATTCAAGCTACGATTCTAACTCTTTACCAATTAATTCAAACCCGCTTTTGCTGATATATCCATCATATAATCGTTTGGTCACGTGCCTCTTCTCTCAGGTGCTGGTTTCTCGAAAAAAAAATTCAGGGGCAAAAATGTAAACAACTTCAACAATGAACACAACAAGATTAAATCAAAGCAATACAATTACCATTTGCTAACTCAACTCTATCCAGTCGTTTTTCTCACTTGATTATATATGTTTACAGGATCAGATTCATTAATGAACCTCCAGTACCTTGAATGATTATTTATGACGTTCAATATTGCCCAACAACCATAATGTACATGTTACAATTACAATCAATGAACCAGGTTCAGATGCTTCATCTCACAATTCAAACACCATTTGGTGATAATTTCCCATTGAGTAATAACCACATTTCATAGGGTTGTTTTTTATTAGATCCCATTTGAGGTAATCCATGTTGCCTACAGACTTGTTAACTTTTGAGAACCATATGTCAAGGATGACTAGTTTTAAAAAGTTGAAATGATCTGGATATTTAGACTACTAGGAAAGATAAAAATGTATCACAATATCAAGCTATAAAAGTATCAAGTCATAAAAGTATCAAGTCATAAAAATACCAAGTCATAAAAATATCAAGTCATAAAAGTATCAAGTTATAGTAAATTGTTATAAAAATTGTCAAATCTCATACTCCATCAAAGAGGGATTCATTAATCTATGGGCAAGCGCTAACAAATTTGTATGCGCGAATTATTCTACGGGCAAGAATTATTTTATGGGCATGCCCATAGATTATAATCTTGATAGCTCAACAACCACTATAGATATTGTTTTGATACTTCATATAGACCATCTAGTAGGCACTTAGTATCTATATTCTTAATATCTAAACAGTATCTTTTGATTTGATAGAGCTGGAGTGTTATTTGTTGTTCTTTGTATAACCAAGCTTAACTATGGTGTGTCCCTTACCATTGCCACTTTGTTAATGAAAAACAAAAATCCTGCTGGGAGAATTATGTAATCAGTTATTCTATGGGCAAGACCATTAATCCATGGGCAAGACCGTTATTCTATGGGCAAGACCATTAATCCATGGGCAAGACCGTTATTCAATGGGCAAGACCATTAATCCATGGGCAAGACCATTATTCTAGTATGGGCAATCAGGTCCATAGTTAACATTAAGTACGCTATACTGGTGGGAGTTGTGAATAGCATTAGATATAGAGTCACGAGAAAATTCTCTTTTACTGTATACAACTTTTATATTGATATCTTGTGCTTTTATGTTTTTAATGCTTTTTTATAGACATTGTCAATTTTTATTGACCTTATATTATCTTCAACAATTTGAATATTTACAAAATGGTAATACCTTAATTATTTAATTTCTCGAAATTAATAAATAGTCAGATAGATTTCTTCTATGCCTTATTTTGAGTGGATTGAGTTATTTTAATTCACTGATAATTTCTTATCTGGTTGTAATGTTATTGTTGGTTGAAGGTACAAGGTCTGGTATGGGTCACAATTATGGTTATATGATAGAAAGTGTAATGGATTTAAAAAAGTTGGAATATGGATATGGTAAATAGAGGGCTAGTTATGCTACATGCAAATTCTGGTGGTTATATCTTTTCAATTGGGTTGTTGGTGATTGGTTATATGGATCCCGAAATCATCTTCGGGTATTAAATATGGTATACCTATGGAACCACAATATTTCAGATCTAGTTTGTATTGTAATCTTATCGAGCTTTCTCTATTTCATAACAATGTCACTCGATTAGTCCAGGAACATGGTTGTTGTGGAGATATACCGGGTTAAAGTTGCCTCTCATAGTTAAGGTTTTTGGAATTTTGTGTCAAAGATTAACTTTTTCTTAGATGATGGATTTTGGTGAAAGCAAAGGGCTATTAGATCATAAGGGATGTGGGAGAAGATG